CGTAATTTACTCGACATTGCTCTGTCGTGTACCCTAATACAACTGTAAGTTCGGAGAGGGGGGCGGCGGCGGGGGGGGGGGGGGCAGGGCGGCGGGAGGGGGGGCGGGCGGGCACAGGGGAGGAGGGGCCGTGTGGGTGGCGGGGGGGGCACCGAGGTGGGCGGGAGGGCGTGAGGGGGGGGCACGGCGGGGGAGGGAATCGGAGGGGCGAGCAGGAGGCGGAACGGACGACGTATTAGGCTTTATCCTTTGCGTTGCAATCCTACTTGCTTATTCCTCATAGATGGTTGAAATGTTGGTCAAAATTAGAGGTATTGCTTTGTGTCACGGGCTTCATTTTAGCGTGGAAGGCAGAGCGGAGAGTATTGAAGTGAATATAAGTACGTGTGTAGGGGTTTTAGTCACATTTAGTATATACAATTACTGCACTTGAGTTGGTTTCTTTCACCACACAACTCCTGGGACCAGCTCTTAGTCTCCCAGTGGGAGGTATCCCCAAACTCCCCCACTACCGATGACTGCGGAGGACAACGGGTTCTCCAGGGGAAATGGGAGCTGAGAGTGTTGTCCCCGTGCTGGTAGGAGGGAGACTCACCTCCTGTGGGGGGGGGGTGGGGTGTGGGGTGGGGGTGGGTTGGGGGGGGGAAGAGGTTGTGACATGGTGACAGTAAGATTGAAGAGAGGCGGGGGAAATGGAAAGGGAGGGGAGTGTTTGGTGTGCGTGAAGCTAACTGGATCTCTCCTGGTTTCCTTCTGCTTCTCTTCTTGCTCTTCCACGTGAGGCGAGGGATCAAACCTCATTCAGAGTCACTACCACACCTGTACCAGTTGCCCAAACTTAATTAGAAAACACGGACACAAATTTGGATGACTACTCAACACTACACATTACACATAACAGGGACCACATTATGCTGCCATGAAAAAATCACACTGAGTAGTAAGATATGAAATTACTTTTCATACTACGTAGAATAATAGAGAACATGGTTCTACAATCGCTACGTATATCTTGAGGGAAGGTGTCCTCAGTCTGCTATTGGAGGACTCCCAAGGGAAAGGGGCAAGAGAAAGGGAAGAAAAAAAGACAAGAAGGAAGCAGAAAAAAACATACAAAAGAAAGATACACAGAAACACAAAAAGGAAACAAACAAAAAAACAATAAAAAAAAAACCAAAAAAAACAACCAAAAAAAAAAAAAAACAAACGAAACAAAAAATAAAGTAAAAAGAAAAACAAAACTAAAAAAAAAAAAAAATAAACAAAGAAAACAAAGCTCAAAAAAAAAAAGAAAGCACAAAGACAAAACAGGGAAAAGACAAAAAAAGATTAGGGCTAAGAAAGTAAAGCAAGAAAAACAAAAAAAAAACAAAAAAAAAGAAAACCAACAACAAAACCACGGCAAAAGAAAGTGACAAACGACACACCACCCCCCAACAAAACCCACCACAAAACCCGACACCAAACAAAACCATAAAAACACAAAAAGGGCAAAATACCAAAAAAAAAAAAAAACCCAGAACCAACACAACCCACCAACACCAACAAACCCAAACAGACAACCAAAAACAAACAAACCAACACCCTACCCCAACACCACACCCAAAACCCAACCATAACTCACCCACCCCAAAAACCCACCCACAAACAAAACCCCCCACCACCCCCTACCCCCCACCCCCCCCCACCCCCCCCCCCCCTCTCGTGGGACCCTGACCTCCCTCTCTCCCCTCTCCAGTGACCCACATTTTGCCCCCTCTTCTCCTCTCACCTCTCTTCCTCTCCAACGATCCACTATTACTCCTCCCTATCCTCCTCTCCAGAGAGCCAGAGGTCTTAAAGGTGGAGGAGTTCCTCTGTCGGTGTCTATGTCTACTGCCAGAGCCAGCAGTAGACGATGAGGGAGTCTTCTTGAAAACGGAGGAGGAAGAGGAGGGAGGTGTGTGTCTTGGTTGGAGGTAGCTCGACGGAGAAGAACGCATCCTGGAGTGGAGAAAAGCAGCACGAGGTAATATGACGCGTGCTCTGTTTGACACAACCAGAGAGTTGAAGTATATATGTAGTGTGTGCAATCTACAGTGGCAAATGTTGCGCTGCTCCTACAGCTTAAACACTGACAGAGGGATGCTTGCTGCATTGCGCAATAATATGCAATAATCTGTATAGAGCCATATACACTGTTCACCCTTTCCTTAGTAGAGCCAGTTCGTTGGTGAGGTTCCTGACTCTGGAGCGGAGAGTCCTCTCGGAAGACCTCAGTTCTCCCAACTGAGCACCGGGAACAAGAGGTAAGTGTATATATAGTGCTTCGGACGTAGGTGAACACGTGTGGATCTCTCGTGAGAGCTGGACAGAGTGTTCACTGTGTGATCTTTTTCTCTCTGACAATACCAGCTCTGCCCGGTATAACTAGCAGTCTTTACACATTGTGATGTGGGCACAGAGAGATCAGGGCTCACTGACCTCCTGAGTGAGAGATCTCAACTCCTCAGTCTTCTTGCTGACATATCTCTGATGTTTGGTTCTCTCTTGCAGCACCTCCTCCTACATATATACATCAACGTGATTCACACGGCAAATGAGACAGTCTTCACCTACATACAACAGTTCATGGAAAAGGTGTGAAATGTTTATCACCAAAAAGCCTTCTGCTATACATAGAGTGTATGTATGTGTACCTCAAGATTTCGTATGACTTCGTGCAGCATTTTGAGTTGTTTTTTGTCCTGTCCTCCCCCTCCTCCTCCTCCTCCTCCTCCTCCTCTGTCGACTGCGGCCAGTTGTGTCTGCAGAGACTCCACCGCCTCTTCCAACTCCTCCTTCTCCATCAGTAGATCATCGTAGCTGGAAGAGTGAGAGAGAGAGAGAGAGAGAGAGAGAGAGTGTGTGGTCCAGTAGACAAGGTATGTTACCAGAGTAGAGAGAGTAAAAAACGTCATTATTTTCAAAGTGCATTGGTGTCACTTACTCTTTCTGAAGCCTGGCCAGAGCCGAGCTCTTCTTTCCCTAGTGCATACAAGTAGGTGCACGGGTAAGACACTATTGCAGGTGAGTGACGTGTGACTCGTGTCTCACTTGTCTCTTGTATTTCTCCAACTCTGCAGCCAGTCTGGTGATGGTGCTCCGTAGCTGGCCGGAGTCAGCCTGCCCGGCATAGGACAGTGCCAACGGATAGTGGATCCTGGACATCGTGAGCATACACTCATCAGTTCTATATCAGGGTATCGTGCACACCAAAAACTAGCTTTGAGATGTCTACAAAATGCTGTGGAAGAGTTAAAATGCCATGGCTCCACCCATTTCTCTATCTATTATATACCAGCAAGGCAAAACTTACTTTTTTCTTTGCCGTGAGCATGATGCCATGCGCTGCCACGGAAACATTTGTTAAATTCCGGGCAGCAAAATAGGTTGACTTGTGATAAACTACTAAATCACCACAGGGTAATTAAATGATTGGGGTTTGCAGTAGTTGTTTCATATCCGTGCTTTACCTGTCAAATTCGACGGAGTAAGTGAGGATGAGGTATCTCTTTCCCGGAGGAGTGTCAGGCTGGGCTGGGGGTCTCGCAGGTTGCGTGTGGCTGTCTGCTCCGGGACCTGCGGCAGACGTGGCGGTGGCCATGGCGTTCCTCCTCTCTCTCAGGGTCTCCAGGTCAGCATACGTCAAGAGGTCGAGTGTCACACTCTCACTGGACTGAGAACAAAGAGTGTAATCCGTTTCACTCGGGTTTACAGGGGTTACTCTGGACACAAGGATAACTAACACTAGATTTCTAACAATTGTTTGCCGTGGAAAGGAAGATTGTGTTTTGGTACATAGAATCTTCATCTGGAAAAAAAAACACGAAAGCTCACCAGAATCGTGAAGGATCTATAGCAAAAGGTAAGCCTTTCTTAGTAGTAAAGCAGTGTAAACTGTAGGTTTTTTATCATATGTTTGCATCCGTTGTGTATCTACAGCCATAGTTACCTTGTTGATGGCTGATTCCAGCATAGTTGTGAACACCAGAAACTGCTTGAAGTTTCCAGTTTTACGAGTCAGCTCCTCGATATCTGCAGCAAAAAAACAGTGGACTGTACGGCTGGAGTAACATATGCACTCTGGCCTGCATACGTTTCGCCTCGAATTTTCCCTTCCAGATATTTGAAGAGACCGTCCCCTCCACCGTCACTTCAAGCCAGTCCCCAGAGACGCAGGAAGATAGCAGGTACTCCGTCTCCTTGAAAACCCAGCTCGAGGACGCGCGGCGTGGCTCCATTCTCACCCACTGCTCTAGCTGATCTCTTTCCCGCTTCGCTGATCAAAAACCGGGCTTCCAGGGTCGAAGGTCAGCCTACCGCGCATGCGCAAAATAAGAAGGAGGAGGAGCTGATTTGCTGCGCAGTCACACACGCTTAGACGACCGATCCGACGAAAAGCGGAGCACGATCTGAATGCGACGACTTCTACGGAAAGAGACTCAGAAAGCGCCTTGATGAGCGGGTCCCTACTGGCGGGGACCTCTCACCCGCCGACCGTTGACATGAGGGGGAAAGTGGTAGTAGTAACGGGAGGAAACTCGGGCATCGGGTATGCGACGGCCAAGGCTCTAGCTGTCCTGGGAGCTCACATTATCCTCGCATGTCGCTCCGAACAGAGGGCTCTCGCGGTGAGCACTCAATAGGCCGTGTGGTTGTAAAATGAAACCTTTGCTAATAAAACCGGTAGCAGTGATAATCTGTTACTGACAGGCAATCCACAGGATGAAGGGGGAGACATGTACGGACGGAGACGGGCGGCGGAGTATCCTTGTGGAGTACATGTACCTGGACCTGGCCTCGCTGGATTCCGTCAGGAGATTCTGCTCCACTATCCGTGACAGAGACCAGTCCTTGGACATCCTCATCAACAATGCAGGCATATCCTGGGCACACTACGGTGGGTAGATTATGCTACTGCAAGTTTTGTGTGTTTTTATGAAGTGTTTTGTGTATATACATCAAGGATTGACAGAAGACGGGTTTGAACAACATTACCAGGTTGGTTTTGTAGGAGTATTATGGAGAAATGTTCGATCACACCCTGGCACCATGATTTCTTCACTGGAATTTTCTATGTGGGATATGATCCTGCAATGTTGTGCCTTTACGCCATAACTAGGATGTCTAGTGATGCTGCTATTCATAACACAGTTAACATGCCAAACAACCGCTTCTTTCACCGCCGGGCAATACGGGCCACTGCACACGCACAATTTGTTGATGTGTGCAAGCATCGCTTTATTCACTGCTGCCTGTACATTATAATCTTAAAAATGACAAGTCACGTGGGACATAATAGTCTACACCAGCCTCGTATGAAAGATTGATGCTATTCACTATTTGCTTGCCTTACTGTGTCAGTGACTGGCATATGCAGCACCGACTTTAGGCCCTACATGAAGTTAAACAGCTGTACTTATTAATGGAGCCATTGTCCACAAGACACAGCTATACAAATGCTGACGTCCGTCCTAACCTATGCTGGTTATCCCTCTCCCCCGTGCCAAGGTGAACCACTTGGGCCACTTCCTTCTGACCGTGGAGCTACTGCCCCTACTGAAGACCACTGCAGAGAGGACGGGTGACTGCCCGAGTGGTGTTTGTTGCATCTCGCAGGCACGCACAGGGTGTTTTCGACCCCAAGAACATTAACGGAGAGATTTCCTACAGTAGATATGCTTTCTACAACCACTCCAAACTCTACAATGTGAGTATAAAGATCACATGCAAACATGAGCTATATAGAATATAAGCTTGGAAAATTTGACCAAAGACTAATATAAAGTGGAGCCCCCTTAAATCTGCACACCGATGGAACACAATGTGTCCATATTAGTAAGGTGTCCTTATTCTACAGATAAATTGCACGAAAGATCTGTTCTTAGGGAAAGAATATATAGGTGTCTTTAATAGAGAAGAGTCCTCATTACACTGTGCTGCAGGTGATGACAGCATACGCACTGCAGAGGAGGCTAAGAAAGTCTGGGATAACAGTCTCCTCTCTACATCCTGGTCTGGTAAACCAATTATCTTCCATAAACACAAGGAGCCCTTTGATTATTAAGGCACCCAAATAAAATACATACTTGCTAAAACGAAGAGACTATAGGATAATAATTTTGTTGCTTCTTCTGGTCACAGACAGATACCGAGATGTCTCGCAATATGGCTGACATGGCTGTTATGTCTGTCTTCGCAAAAGCCCTAAAAGCTTTCTGTGAGTGGCTAAGCTGAAAAGGAAGACATGCATGCACCCTGTATTGTCTAGTTTACTGTGGCTTAATTAAACAGGATTTCCTTACCTGAGCGACAATAATTGTAAAGTATGCTGGCCTTGGGCTTCAAGTAACAACTGAATGAGGCACACTATTAATGCACTAAGTAAATGCAAGCTGGGGATATTTCCAATGGAAACTGAAAGCCAATAGCCTTTTGCAATCTGCAAAAATAGCCTGATCTATGCAAGGTCCCATTGCATTCAAACTTAGCCATCAGATAATACGTGGTTATGCGATTACAATCGTGTCTTGTGTCTTAGCTATTGGTTGGAGGAGTGCAGAGAAGGGAGCAGCGACCTCTCTCTACGTGGCCACCGAGCCTGGCCTCAACTCCCAGCAGTGCCATTACTACAGTGACTGCAGAGTCAGGCACAGCAGCCCCCTCTCTCGGTACACTTAGTACCTCAAAGTCCCCCGAATCTCCAAACAGTAGTCACTTTATTATAATCACTCTGAGTAAAAGATAATATTATAGTCACTCTGACACCTTCGATGTCGACATGTGTCCCTTTTTCAAGACCTAACCTTTGCAACAAAAGTTCAAAAACTATTCACAGTCTTGTGTTTCACTGGCTCATGCGTTGATCCAGGAATGAGGAGCTACAGGAGCAGTTGTGGGCAACGAGCATGCGAGACGTGAAGGGAGCATCTTTCTCCGGAGACCAGAGAGAGATTTGGTGGATCTGGACAGAGTCGTGTGCTACCTGGGATCACACGAACACGGAGACATTCGTTCAGGTCGTCGTCACTGAGAGTCAAGCCAGAGGACAGAGAGAGGCTGATAGACACAGAGGACTCTACTAAGAGAGAGGAGATTTGTAACGAAGGGTGGATGGAAAGGGGCAGAGGAGGAGGGGGAAAGGGAATAGAGAGGGCAGCATAATATTATGTATCAAAATCACCTGTTATCACTAGATTTTCAGCCACTACTGTCATCATGATAAATCACAGTTCAAAGTTCATTGTTCATATTGCTGACTGTGCACAAGAGTTCAATGGAACCGTGTGTGTCTGTGTGTTCAGTAGATAATGGCAGCTAATGAGTTCAACGTTCCTTGCCCCCGTGGGCCCAAACTGGTTGGCCGATGTCTCCTCATGTGCCCAGAGTCTGAGAGATTGAGGTATTATCACAGGAGCCTTCCCTTAATTCAATAGCCCTCAGCTATAGATATAGAATGTAGACTGTTCATGAGTTCAGTATAATGGCTGTGGCTATAGGAGGGAGGAGCTGCGGCAGTTGTCGGTGATAGAAGTTGACCCCACCCACACCAGTAGAAGCCACGCCCACCCTAAACAAATCAGCAGTCAGGGTCTGGCAGTAAAGGAGTATGTGAGAGCAGGGGCGGGGCATCATGTCCCGAGTCCAGACGACCTTCGACCTCTGGGGACTCTAGTCCAAACAATGGACTACCTAATGAACAGGTGATATATAGTCACACACCAGCTCCCAACGTTCTGTTGCCATAGTGGAAACTAAAATTGGTGGAAAATTTCGTGGATTACTTGTCCCGTCCCTACCCACAAAATTGGCACAGACATGGAAACTGCAAAATTCACGAAATATTTCTTCCATAAAGGTATCCTGCCATAGAGTATTGACAAGCACCGACACGGTACCGTGCACTTTACCTGGCCCTTGCACAGTGGTAATGGTGTTACAGTGAGCCTTATCCATAGAGGTGTGGCTCACCTTACTGCCAAGAGTGGTCGGCATATGCTAATACGTCATGAAGTGGTCCATAGCCACTGGACTATATAGTACTGTAGGAATATTGATCCTGCCAAGGAACACCGTAGCTTATGGAAATCTTGAGCCTGTAGCCATCTTCCAGCCAGCAAAAGACTGCTGTAAACCAGTTCTCTTACCACGCAAACTACTTGCTCGTGTTTATGTATTGGTAGATGGTGGGGAAATAAACCTGTGGATGCAGTAAACAGTTGGTGTGTTTGTGTGTGTCGGTAGAGAGGGGAAGAGAGGACACCCACTGGTGGCCAAACAGCTCAGGCAGTGGAGGAGAGGGTATCAGCTAATAGGGTGACATACACTGGGATACACACTTGCCCTAATCACCTCTGATTGCTGAAGCCCAACAAGGTAGCAGAGTCTCTCCATATATGGTTCCAATAACATTCAGGCCCGGATTTCCACCACTAAGCGATGCATGTATTTGGTGACGTGAGCAAGACACATTGTTGAACAAGATGTGTATGAGATTAGTATAAGTCCATTCACATCCCACATTGCACCTACCAGGGGCCACAGCACTGCACTTTTTGCATATAATATTACTAAATATGACCAATGAGCACCTCTATTCCACTCTGTCTGCCTAAATTCATGTGTCATTGCCTCTCAGCAAAACATGTTGTAATCGTAGCTAAATATAGGTCCACTGGAGCTATGTTTCCATAAAAGGAAAAACTCGACCAAGAGCACTTTGATTGCTGTGTAACTATGAGCTCTGCCGCATGCCAGAGTATTCATGCTGTCTAAGAAGCTGTAGTTAATGTGGAGTTGAGCTGTGGCTATATTAGGACATTTGGCAGTGTTACATCACAGTGTTTGGCTTCTAAAAATAACTTGCCACCCACACATCCACACTGCCCTGCACAATGACAACAAATACTGCGCCTTTGAAATGTAGTCTTTGATAGAACCAAGTGTTCTTTGTAGATGTCCATATTTCAGAGTTTTTACTGCATTGAATTGCATTATCTTTCTGACAGTGTCACTATGATGGAGGACGTTCCGTGGCATGTAGTCTATGGTTTCGTCAACAATCGCTGTCAGTCCGTGAGACAAGACATCACCTATCAGGTCCTTACCACTCACAATCATCTCCACGCAACAGTTTCAGCACCGACTATACTACTTACCCTGACCGCTAGACGTGCACAAGTTACACTAAACATCCGAGCACTATATACTACAGTAGGGAAAGAGGCGTCACACATTGAAATAATCATCGTCCCCAACCACCCAGCAACTGGAGGGTCCTCAAGTTCTACACATATACAAGCTATCAGCAAAGTTCTACATCTACGCTCAGTACAGGTAAATAAACACAGAACATTAGCAGTGTCCCCGGGAGATTGGAGACAACAAGGTAGCGTTACAAATACAGTGAAACAAGGGAGATAATGATTATCCAGAGACACCCCCGTTAAGATGGCGCAAAACCAAAGATTTAGGTGTCTTTTCCAGACTGGCAGGAGAGAGGAGGGAGAGATTTGACCCAAAACTCAACTCTGACCAGCTCCAGCAGTGTCTCTCCAAGCTACTGAGACTTTTCAGTGACCAACCACCAGCAGCAGCTCTAGCTCCACTGTCCCAGTGGGAGAGTGGGCAGAGGCTGTCAGCTACTACCTCCTCACTAACCTGGGTACATAGGTGCCTCGTAGTCTCCACACTCTCCTTCTGTGTGTGTAAAACTATTGCATGGTACCATTTCCACTGTCAAATGTTAAAATTTTTCATGCAAAGGGGAGCTTTTGGGGGGTAGTTGATGCATCACACGACTCCTAATGAATGCCCTTTGTTTCCCTCTCGTTTATTGACAGGGTCAGATGGAGCTATGATGCACGCTCTCACTCTACCGCGACAAGTCAGGTTATCTATTTTACTTCACTGAGTCAAATCACGCACCACGTACTACAGTGAAGGTACAGTGGTGGGTTTCATTGCAGTGTGACACCTCCGAAAAGGCCCCTCCAAACAATGGACACCTCTCTATAAAGGAGACTTGGCTCTGCCCCATAGCAATACATTAGCGTATTATACTACCTCCGAATAAGGGACGCCACTGAATAAAGCACACTGCTAAAGCCCCCAACAACACGTCCCTTATTCAGAGGTTTCCCTGTATAGGGCTGAATCTGCTGTACAGACTGCACTGGGGTTGAACCGTCTGGTCTGCGAGAATAATTTCGTGCGGTTCTTCAGACACTTTCCCCGCCTCCCATCACTAGCACAGTGTGCCGCCTACCCTTACCTGCCAGCACTGCAGAGGTGAGCGTACCAACAATCATCGGGGAACGCAAATGAAAGGGGCTCTCAACAAATCACGTGATTTTCTGCAACTGGTTGCCACGAGGGAGGATTCAAGTGTGTATCATGTCTACAGTAACACTGCCCCTTTCTTTCCTCCCTTCTTGCACACACACCTACGCACACAAACTGAAGGCTGGGGCTCCGGATACTGTGCAATGCCTACTGTGTCGGAACCAAAACCTCCCCATTCCCTCTGGAGTGAGTAGCTATAGCTAGCCTAGCTAACACTTACTCATCCTAGCAATCTTCTTGCCTGCAGGGTTCTAGCACAGTGGCTGATGTTCGGAGGGGAAGAGGATGCTGCCAACTACTGCACAGCTCTAGGTATATCTCACATACAATACTAATTGGAAAGGGATAGAATGGACCAATAATTCTGCTGCAGGATTGAAACGAGAGGGCAAGAACTCACTACTTCAGAAATCAACTCCACACTTCACGTCTATAGAGGTGCATACTTCATGGATGATGAGTGCAATCAAATAAGCAATCAGTACCCAATTTTTTCTAAGTGGTTGCGGAATAATACACACCACCATTGTCCCTCTGAAACTGCAGGTACCTACGAAATTAATCTTACCAGGGGCAGCACCAGCTAACTGCAGACAGCTTATTTCCAATTCATAGCAAAGTCTATTTTACACGGAGATACCTAGAGCCTACAGTTGAAACCCGTGAACAACATTTCTCAAACTTTTTGACACACTACCTTGACGTGAGCAGTATGCAATTGGAAGTTCAAATGACTATAAGACGCTGAAAGCAGATTGCAACTACTATTGAACAATTGGGATCGTCGTTTTGGTCGTCTGTCCGGTACATGGAATCTCCGGTTTATAATTGAACGTGATGATAATTTGGAGAAAAAATCTGGAATATAAAAATCTGTGTCCACATCTCACTCTGTTTTCTCGAAGTTTCCTGACAACGGCTGATATCCAGCCTCCTCCAATTTCTTTTTATAGTTCTCATACACCCTTCTCTTATCAAAATGTTTCACCTGAAAAAAATATCACAGATTCAGTGTTTCCCCTAGCTAGCTATACTAAAATCACTTACCCATGAAGGTAAACATTTGCTGTGAAATTCCTTCCCTTCTCTTTTGCAGGCTTCGACCTTCTCGCTGTTCTTGAGCATGCACGAGTAAAACGCATCTCTAGCCACGTAGCAGTCTCCTCTTTGACTTGCATTCGGAGCCTCGGCCGCTGCGGAATCCATCGCCTGGATTCCAAATAGTGCGCACTTCGGGTGTCCTCTAATGTCCGATACCGGAGCCGAAGGCGAGTGGTCTAAAAATAGAACATGGCCTTTTGTGGGGTGGAACGTATTGACACCTCCTGGGGGTCGCCGCGCCGCCAAAGCCATTTGCGGAGTAATACCGGAAGTGGTGTTGAGGTTACTTCCGGGTCGAGGCCACGGCCGAAACTCCTTATTTGGGAAAAAACGGGGTCGTGCCCTCTTGGTAAAAGACGGGCTTGCGTTCCAGTCGGACGTAGATTTGTCGCTAATCGCAACCGCTCCAGGGAAAGAAAAGCTGCCAACATGGTAAGTAGTGCACGGCTGCATTTCAATGATATGTCAAGGGGCTATTTTCTCCCATCAGTGTCTTGTTTTAGACTAGCTGATGTTATATTTGGTGCGTTGCGAGTGCGGCGGGCTCCGCCGGTGCCATGCATACATTTGACGGCGTTTTCTTTACCTTCCCCCCAGTCTATGTCCGGCATTGAAGTCGATTCTGCAGTCACGACGCTCTTCAACGAAATGAAGCTGAGAAGTACGCACAAATGGCCACGTTCAAGATCGAAAACAAAAAGAAGGTGATCGTCGAGAAAGTGGGGGAACCCAAGGAAACTGCTGACTCCGATAGCGACATGGCCTGTTTCAAGGAGTTGGCAGAACAGCTAACCAACGAGCCAAGATATATCTGTACGACTTCGGCTTCACAAACAAAGAGGGGAGGTTGATTAAAAAGTTGGCCTTCATATTCTGGTAAGCCCTCCCACTGTGTATGGTAGATGCATAGGTAATGTAGGGAGAGATCAGGGGATGTGGGGAACGAATCAAATGTGGTTGGGAAACAAAAACTCACGGATTTTGCGGTTTGAGTATGCCATGCTCCCGAATGGCCGCATTAGATCAGCTCTCTCAAAATATAAGTGGTCCTTGTTTAGAGTTCTGTGAAGATTTTACTGTTCTCGTGCATGCCACACCCCCACCGCCACTTTGCATGTCAAAAGTGCTATTGTGGACGAGAAAGGATGGAGTCTCTAGAATAAGCCCACCCCTTTGGGTGCCAGATGTGTGTGGCATTAGTGGTGTATATATCCGTAATTTTTGTTCGTAGAGAGTACCTGAAGGCATCGAAGGAGTTGATAGCCCTGTAACCATGTTCTTTCGTTGGTGTTATGTACTAATCAAGCAGTCAAGACACACCCCTTGCCTTTCTGTCGGTTGTTTTCTCACGTGATAGAATCGTTTGATTCTTGAGTAGGTACATATTGCTGTGATTCTTCCATCAGATCTATAATACTGCTTTGCTTTGCCGATAGCGCCATTCATTGTGGTTACAACACATATGCTACTGTACTAGAGGAATGCTGGCGAGCGAAACGAGCAGTTCGATTTTTCGCGTTTCACGCATATTTAGAATCACATAACATTACGGTATGTGGCAGTGCCCATATATATATAGAATATCAGTCGACTAGGAGACGTCGCTGTGCCGGCCAATAATTACGTAAATGTTTAATACAAAGTGTGCAGTTACGTCCTAGTTAGGAGGGCCCTGCTTTGATATTTGTTCACATTCCATGTCTGTTTGTGGTTTATGCTCTCCCGTGTTAAGTTTTTACTGACATTGAAACTTCCAGAGTTGCGGAATATGTGCATATTAGACTACAGTAACACGCAATTGACCAATCAGATTCCGAGTTTAGAGGTAACTATTTCGCAGCCCTGCGACACTTTCCTTACGCGTATTGGTCATAGGCAACCACGCCTTCATTCGAGAGACGCCGTGCGAGTGGAAGGCCGACGAGCTTCGGAGAGGTCTCTTCTCACGACGAAAACCACGGTACGACGCGGTCTCTAGTAGAAGCGGTGCTATGACTACAGGGGCCCTAGCTCCAGCTCGAGCCAGACGCGCCATGCTAGCGGTGGCGAGAAGCGCCCAGCGCCCGCCTACTTTCACGTTAGCGAGCCGCGCCGCCTGATAGACATACACTCTCTACTGCATGCTGTGCCGTCGTGTGTGTACGCTGCTCGAACTGGCTTCCAGTTCGGCCTCAGCAAAAGCTCAGACCGCAGTAAGCCGTACATCCTCTATGCAGCGTGCGTTTTGTGCGTTGCAGTGATGCTTAGTCTAGATGTTTAGATGCGATTTGCGCGTGGGAACTCCACACGATTAGTGAGCCTCGGGGCCTCGGTACGTAGCGCCCCCGCCGCGCTCGGGACGCCGACAGCCCAGGGCCCTCGGCTCAGCATCTAACCTATACTTAGTGTGTTTTTAGCAGACCAGCTTGCTTCAAACGCGATCACAGTGTGCACTTTTGCAAGAGCACCAAACTATGTGGGAAAATGTTGTTATATACAGACTAAGTTTTGAGTCATGAAATTTGTTGTTAGTTACTCAATGCATGGTACACCGTAAGAAAAACAGGTTATGAACATGGGTTACGAGCGAAGAACAATAGGGAAAAAATGCTGACCAGCAGATTTCGTGACTCAACTTGGTCTTATATGAAGAACCAACCTGAAATATAAAGTAGAATCAATTTGTGAATTAGGGACATTCTTTAGTGGTTATGAGCACAGAGCAGGAGCATGTGACCTTTTTGGGAAAGTAAAATGCCCCCCCCTCCCAAATAACCCAGAATCATACAGTTGTGTATTACACCCACACTCCAGGTGTGACGACAATAATGCCAGGATCGGTGACAAGATGATCTACGCTAGCACAAAGGACAATATCAAAAAGCAATTTTCTGGAATTGGATTGGAGTTCCAGGCAAACGACAGGGGTGACATGGATTACGACACGTTTGCAGCAGAGGTCGTGAAGAAGGCATAGAGCTGTCACGCTTAGACAGAACTTTTCACAGATACGCTAATTGTAATATTAATATTGTGTATCCCTCTGTAGGTATTATATGTATGTATACATAGCCGTTATTTCCACTGTTGTGAAACTTTGAACAGCCTAGAAGACTTTTTAATGAGAAGCAGTTGTGCTCCACGACGGACGTTGTCAAGCGAACGATACACGTGCAAGCAACGAAATGTCAACACAAGGCAAGTGCATAAATATTTCACCTAGGGCAACACTTTCAGGAGCTGTCCTGGGTGGGACTTGATCCCACAACACTCTGCAGTCTAGGCAGAGTGCTTTCTTTACCACTGAGCTACATATAATACCAAGGCAGCTCAATAAGTGTCCCGCTGTACACCTCTCCGATGTATTATGTGTGAAGCCATGTCTGGGTCTGTGAACATATGGATGTACTATTGCGAGGCTTCCCCATTTTGACAATAGTTTTTAACCAGACCAGTTTTTCATGTGACAAGTGAGTGAGTGAGATTTGGGGAGGAGACTATGTGTAGCTGATTAGCTAGTCGGTGGAGATAGGAGGTTTTTGAGAATGGATGACTGCTGGTGTGGACTTGTGGGCCTGATGACTCCGGGACCATTTGTGTGGCTGTGGCTGGCCTGAGACTGTTGTTGGACTCTAGCTGAAAGGAGACGAGGGTTCGTGGTAGCTCGGGGTCCGGCTGAAAGGAACTGGGGGTTCACGGTAGCTGGAGACTGCTGGTGCCCAGATAGGAGCTGGGAAGAGGTAGCCGTGGTTGGTTTAGTGGCTGCTGGATGCGGTGTTTTGAGGGTGGACGTGGAAGTGGTCTGTACTGGTGGGTGCAGTGTTCTGAGAATGTCAGTTGATGAGGTGGCCTGTGCTGTGGTGGTGGTAGTGATGTGGTGTGCAGGCATTGGGGAGAATTGTGTGACTTGTGACAGGTGGAGACCTGTGGCGAGGGAAGAGAGGGGTACACTGGTCCCTAGTGACAGTCCTTGTGTGGTACCAGACTGGTGGACCAGCCGGTCCTCCTGTGGTTCCAGATGGTCCCTGTGTGATTCCAGAGTTTGGGAGATTGTCGGTATCTGTATATCGTTGACTGGAAGAGATTTGAGTAGAGTTGGTGGAGAGGTGAGGACCTATAGATTGGGAAGATATTGAGGGGTGCAGTGAGGTAGGGGGAGGGGGGTGACTCAGTGCCAGCCCCGTTGTGGCTCGAGAGGGGCGGTCAGGATCTGGTTCTGGAACCCGACCCAAAGGAGGTGGGGCAAGGGGAGGGGCTTGCGGTGGATGGTGAGGGAGGGAGAGAGAGGATGAGGGGAGCGATTCAGTCTCCAGGAAACTGACAAAGAGCTGTGAGAGAGATGCTCCCTGTGTGTTTGTGTGTGAGTGTAGAGAGACAATAGGGAAAGAATGTCAGGCGGCTACAAATTACGGGTCCATATAAAAGACATTCCTTTACAGATGAAATGGCAACATGCACATACATGGCGAGGTTCAAGTTCCAGGCTTACACCCCCTAACCAGCTGCCTCTCAGAGACCCAAGCTCTCATGGCACAACCATAAAAGAACTTTAGTTGCAGAGGCAAAACTAGCTCGGGCAGCACTTTGTAGTCAGAAACATGGGAGAAAGTTACATATGTGCATCGAGAGCACGTGATTTAATGCAGAATGGTGTTCCTGGGGTACGGATCTTCTGGCCACCTACGAAATTTCATAGCTAGCTCTCTCACACGTTTTTCTCTTTGCCATTGTATTGTACTGTCTGACTGACCTGGACAGGAAGTTTAGGACTGGGGGTCAAGGGTGATGAAGGACCTTGTCTACCCCAGAGTCCGCCCAGCCAACCTCCACTTCTTCGACTCTGCTGCACCTGAGACAACGTGAACAGCAAAATGAGGTGGTATAGAGTGTGAACTCTTCTACCACAAAAGGAAGGTCTTATGTGTTTTAGTAGGTGACTGTCTTGTGATGTAGTAAGAGCGATTGACACAGTCTTATGCTTCACTAGGCAACAAGTCCCGTGTCTTAGTAAGACTGATGGCTACTGACGTATGTTTCACTAAGGCCAATAGGCAACACGTCTCCCGTGTCTTAGTAAGACTGATGGCTACTGACGTATGTTTCACTAAGGCCAATAGGCAACACGTCTCCCGTGTCTTAGTAAGACTGATGGCAACTGACGTATGTTTCACTAAGGCCAATAGGCAACAAGTTATTACGCACAACAATGTACCTGCAGTACTTCTGAGGGTGAGAAGTCAAGTATCTTTGCAATTAGGTTCAAGACTTCAGGTTTTTTTCGATCTGTTGCCTGCACATATCCAACCACCAAGTTCTTTACGAGGTTCCTGTGGAAACAGACAGGGAAGGGGAGAGAGAAGAGAGGAGGGAGAGGGAAAGAGGTCCCACACATTAACAAGGAGAAAGAGACACATGGGGAGGGAGAGGAAGGGAGTCAGGCAGGTATTAACGAAAGTTGTAAACAAACAGTGAGGGTGGGAGAGAGTGAGCCAACGGCGAGATGTGGGGGGCAGCTCGAAATCGAAACGAACGGAAATTATAGCAGCTTGTTCCACTGATGGTGGGGTTTGGATACGACAACAGCCTAGGCATGCCAGTATTACATACCAAACCATCCCATTAAGATTCTATCCATAACACGCTCTAAAGTTCCAAGAATGTATACACGGTTATGCTGTAAGCCGTCCATGTTTCCCTGTTTCTGTTTTATACCAATATCCACAAGTGAACCGGAAAACAAAATGGTCCCGGTCATGGTTTGGAACATGAGCTCCTAGTATTGTATATATTATCCAGTATGTTTGCTGCGAGAGCTGTCCTTAACCAAATTCCCATGTTACAAAATTTGATAAGTGAGGTCCACAACTCACTGATCGACTCTGCCTCCTTGCTCTCTCATCAGTCTTTCCAGTGCCTCTTCCGTGCTGTGCAGACTGCTCCCTAGTCTAGTCACTGTCGCATGCCACAGTGTGTACGTGTCATAGAATGAAAGTTGGGAATGGGTGACAAGATCCATGAGAGAATTCAGTGGCGTGTTTCACTGACCTTCTTGCTGTAGATGCTCGTTCTTTTCTCCCTCTCCTTGAGCTGCTGGTGCAGTAGACCCTCTGTGGCCCTCACCTCATTCAGCTGGCCCTATTACAAGACACACCGAGAGCGCTGAGGTAAGGACACGAGGACCAACAGTAGTCCCTCCAACACATAGCCCTTGCAAAGGAGTTACCCTTACCAAGACCATTCTACCTTCTCCTCGAAAGTGTTACGCTACCTTCTTGGAGACTTAGTTTTCCTCTGCAGGGAAAGGGTTTGTATAGAGGTTTGTATAGAGCAGAGTGCTAAAGGGAGACCACAAACAGTATAATACACCTCATACAGGAAGATATGACATACTGACAGGAAAGAGGATGTATGGCAGTGAAAGGGGTATACTTGTGGGTGTGCTGATGTACATACACACTGCACCTGTACAGTGTTGTAGGTGGTCCCGAGAGTGTTTAGTTCAGAGAGAGTGTTGGCCAGTTCCAGTTGAGACCTCTTCAGTGCTTCATTCAGTTCACTGGACTTGTCTGAGGGAGGGAAGGGGGGGAGGGGGGAAGTGGGTGAAAGGGGGAGTGACACAGAGAAAAGAAGGTTTGGGGCGAGATAGGGAAAAGTCGAACATTTTGAAGAGAGATAGGGGAAAGACGAAATGTGGGAGCGAGATAGGGGGAAAAGACCAACGGGTACATAATGGCACACAAAATCTTACAGACATATTTTCAGGGTAATATTTTAGAGGGAAACTTTGAATTTCCGAGGCCAATTCCCCTCACATGCCCGCAACGTAAAAGAAACCCTGGTTCCCATAGCGACTGACCTCTCTGGAACTGCTCCAGGACAGACTGGAGATTGGAGAGGGCGGCGGCACTGCCCTCGGCCTCCTCCCGGGCGGAGCTGAGCTCCAGAATGGCGGCATCTCTCTGGGTGGCAAGGACATGCAGCTGCTCCTCCAGGTCAGCCACTCTGGCCCTGGTCTGGAGACTGGGAACCAGACCATGTCACTATCACCACAGCTATGTAGCTACAATATGTTCCAAAGACTATCGTAGAACTATCGCGTTAAACACTCACGCAATCTTCTGAATAGCAACCTTTTGCAAAACTGTTAGTGGCAAAGATTTTAGTTATTACAGTATTTTCGGGGGAGGAACATTTTAAAGAACTTCAGAGCCTGAGAACTGTCCGTTAACATTTTCTCAGTGAAATTCATATTTGGTACTGAATCGTGAATGCATGTGCACGCATCAGAAATCAGACCTCGGGCACAACTCGAAACACCAACGTCTCTTGGGGCGCGGTGTGGAAATACGTTTGATTTGATTCAGTGTATGATGTGTGTGTGTAGACAAAATGTGAGAAAGTAGCGTGGTGAACATGTGTGTGATGTCGTCAATAAAACTGTTTAATCCTTTGATGTGGACAACCAGACTTCCTCCCCAGACTTCCTGACCGTGTGTAGGATGATGATTTGTATAACGATGGATAGGTTCAACAGAGTGCAAAGCCGACCTCAGAATTATGCAAATGGGAAGCACCCACAAAAATCACACATTATGCGTGCATGAAAATGCCGATTGCAAACTTCCTACACTCTTAGTACTACACCTCTCAAAATTAGGAATAATTATGCCCCAAAGCAGTTGCTATAATTATTATGATTTGCTGATAATTAGAAAGTACGTACTTCTCCTGCTGGTCGATGTATGAGGAGTGTCTGAGGGTCTCCTGCAGTTCCTCCACCCTCTTCCTCTCTCCTCTCTCCCTCTCCTCGGCCCGCAGAGCATCCTGGGTATACCGCTCCTCCACCTGAACAACACAGACGACAGTACATACACATTCATTCAGCAACACCACAGTGGTGGCAAAGTGAGTTTTGCTTCTTCAGTATACAACCAACAACTAACAAGCTGCAGTGTGCAGGGTAAAACATTCACAGATTGTTTTTCAAGATGCGACAGTGTATGCAAAGTATATATAATTATACCACGTGAAACTTTGTGCACAGGGTTGCACATTGGAACATGCAAGTTTCTCTGTAAAATCAGTTTCCCACCATACACAGAGTACACACTGGCGGGCTGCGTAGAGTATGTGGCGTGATTGGTATACAGAAAGCAAAGGCACTCGTTTGTAACACTAACACAAAAAGAATGTTGGTTTTGGCTGCGGACGCTATTTGAGGTAGGCGTACAAAAGGAGAATCGTTCCCGGGAAGTGTGTTGACTGCTGTTCAATGAGGAAAAGGAAAGTTCAGTGCTGTTTGTGTGTGTTGTGTTTGTGTGTGTGTGTGTGTGCTTGCATTGAAATGCATTCAGAGTCCTAGCAAAGCTTGTGAGCAATCTGGAGTGTGTGTGTGTGTGCCCATGTGTACCTGGACCAGGTGAGCCTTCAAGTGCTCCAGTTGCCTCACAAGCTTCCCACACTCGGTCTGTTTGGCCGCCAGCTCCTCCCTCGCCCTCCCTGCTTCTTCCTCCTCCACCTCCCTCGTCCTCTCTTCCAGCCTCTCTCTCTCACCACCAGTCTCCCTCTGTGCCACTTCCACGGCTTGCTCTAGCTCCGAATTCCGAGTGCTCGCCTCACGAAGTTTGCAGTTCAAACTGTCGAGCGTTGCGCGAGACTCTGTCAGACTTGACTGCAGGCCCAGTACCTCGCTCTGTGTCGTTCTCTCTTGGACCAGGAGCTCGTCTCTCTCCCTTGTCACGGCCTCCAGAGCTCCATGATCTCTGCCGTCGTCCGTAGTGCTGCTACAACCTTCGCTCCTGGCCCTCTGCAGTGTCGCAATCTCCTCGTCTCTAGAGGCCAGAAGTCTCCCCACTTCCCTCAGGTTCTTTTCGCTGTGCTCGATTAGCATCTCCTTCTCCGCCAGTCTCGCCTCGATTGCCGCGTGGTCGGCCGCCAATTGCGAAATTCCCCCTCTCGTCGCTTTCGTGTCACTCTCAAGCCTCGTGACCACAGATTCTTTCTCCAGTAACAAGTTTTCTAGTTGGCTTCTCCTCTCTTCGCTGGCTCTTAACTCTTCTCTCACTGTATTTGTCTCAGATTCTGCCCTGGCAAGTGCCTCATTCTCTACTCTCAGCCGCACCTCAAGGTGTTCCACTTCCTCACGTAAACTGTTCTCTTTCACTTTCAGTTTATCCATACCTGTTTCTAGTTCATGATTTTCAAGTTTGACCGTCGCTAGCGACGAATCGAGTGCCCTAACCAGTTCCTCTTTTTCTGTGATAACCCTTCTGATGCTCTCTTCCTTCTCTTCGTTAACCCTCCTGAGACACTCTTCTTTTTCTGCGTCAACTCTTCTCAAACTCTCCTCCATTTCCGCTCTGGCTTTTCTAAGATTCTCTTGCAAGTCAAGAACTGCGGCATTCGATTCCTGCAACCTCTCCCTGACTAGACGACCGTCTTCACTGACGGACTTTTCATTGGAGTGTTCTGTCAGTAGTAGCTGCTGTAGCTGGTGGTCCTTACCCTCTGCCTCGACGACCAGCTGGTCTACCTGCTGCGAGAGGGTCTCGGCGTCCCTCTGTGATTGCTGCCATTGGGTCCTGAGGCTCGCGACGACCTCCTCGTGTTGAGAGATACTGTTCTGAAGTTCCGTCACGACGGAGGTGAGTTGGGCCTTCTCTTGCTCCGCGTGTCGCGTGTAAGAGTCTCTCTCCTGCAGGAACTGCCGTTTGAGGTGCTCCACTTCACTCTGTAACTGTCCCACCACCTCCTGCGGGGACACCTAACCCAGTCAGTCTATGGCTAGGTGACCCTTACTCTACCATGCATTATAGAGCGCAACTCACTTAGGTACATGTGTCTGGACTCAAATTGGAAGAGACAAAATGTCATTTTTGAGATTTGGTGGGTATCGTAGTAGAGTTCAACATAGCTAAATCCTGATTTTCTGAACCCACGGCTTCTCCATTCACTAAAATATATATGTACCTTTTGCTCATGAAGAGTGGCGGCTAACTCCTTAGCCTTCATCTCCACCTCAGTTTTCTCATTCGTCACGCTCTGCCATCGACCCCTCAGCTCTATAGAGAATGAACTATACTGACACACTCAGCTCCCGCTATAACTAGTCTCTGACTCACCCTGACTGGAGGACTCAGCCTCACTCAGCCGTCTCTCCAGACTCTCCCTGCTAGCTCTCAGCTCCTCCTCCAGTGTCTCCACCTCCCTCTTTAGACTCCCCACCTCCCTCTCTCTTCCCACCTCCCTCCCTGCCTCGACTCGCTCCCGTTGCAAGGCGGCCAACTGCGAGTTGAGTGAGTCCACCTCAGCCCTGAGTGACTCTACAGCAACCCTCTCCCTCTCCACACCCTCCCCGCACTCCTCACGAAGTCGGTTCACTTCCACCGTCATCTTCACCAGTTCCGATTCCAATTTCGCACACATTTCCCGAGACTCCACGAGCTGTGACTGAAGCGCAGCGACCACTGTCGACTGGTCATTTACCCTCCTCCTCCCCTTCTCTCCTCCTCCATCCATCTCATCCAGACTAACCTCCTCCAATGCAGAGAGGAGACTCCCGCGAATCGTTTCATCAGCAGATTCCTCTCTTCTCCCACCACCACTTTCCCCTCCATCACCCATAGCTTCTCTCAGTTGGACTTTTACACTAGCCTCTTCCTCTCCCTCTTCTCCGTCTTTTCCGGAAGTTTCTCTGGTTGAGTCAGTAGCGTGTGTGTGGGACGAAAGGCTGCAGAGCTTCTCGTTGTGCGCTGCCTCTAGAGCTGACAGCTGGTGCTGGTGCTGACTTCGCTCTCTCTGCAGACACAACTGGAGCTCCTGCAGCAAGTAAAACAACATCACCCGAGCTGGTGTTTTGCTGTACAGTGGAAACTCTAATAAGGGACCCTCCGAGATAGGGATGACTTCTCTACAAAGGACTCTTATTTCAGCCCCATGCTAAGAATTATTTGACCTCCGAGATAGGGACGACCTCTCTAAAAGGGACAAAACCATTGGCCCCATAGTGTCCCTTGTTCGGAGGTTCCACTGTACTGTCAAATTACCTCAATCTGTTCTCTGAGAGATGCCAGTTCAGTTTCCACCGGTCCACTAGTGAGAGTGTCTGTAGAATGACCCTGGGGTAAGAGGGAAGAGTGGGGTACTGTATATAGACCGCAAACAAACCCTTAGTGTTGCACAAATCATTCTAGTATTTTACTAATTGTCAGGCAGCACATGATGGGAGTCATGAGGCGCGCGCACACACACACACACACACAGTGTCTATACCTTCTCCTCTGCCAAAGCTCTCCAGTGCTTGCTCTCTGCACTCAGTCGGGTGAGCTCCATTTGGAGTCGATTGATCTCCCCCTGGGAACTGATGACGTCGCCGAAATCGTGATACTCGCCCCATCCTCCCCCTTCTCCCTCCCCCCTCCCCACCTCCTCACCCTCCCACCCTCCCCCCGCCGCCACAGGCTCCAACTGTGCCACCTCCCACTCTCCCCGCCCTCCACGCGACCCAGAGAAGAAGGCCCTCTCTCCACCCAGCTTGCTGAGAGGAGAGGTCGACGACGCCTCTAGTCTACCGCCGCTAGACACAATCTTCCTCTGTTGCTCCTTCAGACTCACCGTCTCCGTCCTCAGTCGACGCAGCTCCGCCTGAGGTCACAGAGTTCAGTAAAGGTTGATAATACAAACTTCAGTAATCTGTTGGATACAGTGAAACTCTAAAAAAGAACCCTCTGAATAAAGGACACCTCTCTATAAAGCACACTTGGTTCTGCCTTCTCTACACTACCCTCTGAAGAAAGGACACCTACGACAAAAGGACACTTTCAATGTTCTCAAGTGTCCCTTACTCAGAGGTTTCACTGTAACATTTTTTATGCGTACATCTTTCTCCTGGATGAGTTTCCGGTACTCCTGGGAAATGGCGGCAATCTGGCACTCGGCCGTTTCCGCTCGCTCTCTCACCTCCTCGCTGTGTCTCTGCAGCTTCTCCCACTGTGGGAACCAATACATACCACTAATGACAGGAGCTTCCCCCTGATCTCCCCACCAACCTCGGTCTTGTAGTGACCGTTGACCTCCTCCAGCTGTTGTATCTTCCTGCGAGCCACTTGCAGCTCTGCAGTAGGATCTACACACACACACATGATGTGTGTGAATAATCCGGACACATTCAAGGAAACGCGTGTCCGGAAAGCCAGGGCTGCAAGACTTCCACGGTGCGCGCTATTTGGAAACTTCGTGAGTGAACGTATATACAGTACCTTCAATCTCCTCGGTGGTCTCCGAAAGAACATCTTTGGTGAATGTGGATATCTGATCCGTGATCGAGGAGAACTGGGAGAGACCGCCGCTCAGCCAAGACGTCATTTTCTAGCGCACTGGACGGAGAAGGCTCCGAGCGCTCATTAACCCGATTTGCACGGTATTACTCGATAAATTTAACACCTTGCGGGATGTTCTCAACAATCACCATAACAACCGCACAACATGGAGGAATGGGTGGAAATGAAAAAAGATGCTGACTGACTGTGTGACTGATAGTTGAATGGGGTTGATTCAGACAAAGTACTAGACTACAAAATTTGAACAGAGGAGTTCATACGAGGACACCATCAGAGCTCCCACCACCACTACCACTGGCTGCTGTCCTCCAGTCATAGAGTGACTCACTCCCCACCTGCACAAATCCCGATTCGTCTACTGGCCCTCCCCCTCCCTCCTCTCCCTGCTGCTGCCGGGATACAACTGCGTCGCTCGCCTGGGTCGTAGCCGACGCAGACGAGGAGGTTGATTCGATCTAGAACTCCCTGGAAGACCTGGATGGCCTCTGCCAGGGTCTTCCCCAGCAAGCTGATGGAGTTGACCTGAGTGTAGAAGAAGAGGGAAGGGTAGAGTTAAATCTGGTCTATGGTTTAACGATGCACTCTCAGGCATATCTGCTGCACGAAATGTTGCCTTTGCATGTATACTAGGATGTCACGAATACTTGCTTGCAAAGGTGACACATGACTAAGTAACGAGGTGGGAGATCTGAAAGAGGTCCCGAGAAACCAACGAGGGAAAACACACAACACACAACCCAAAAACAAACGCCATCCCCAAATGTATGCACAAGTCAGCCAGCACGCCGTGCTGCATACACACACACACACACACACGGTGCAGCAGCACACCTGCAGTATTCTAGTTCCCTCCCTTAGTCTTCCGTCTCTCTCTGCAGTTCCACCTGGTATGACCTGGAGTCGAGCGGGAGAGGAGAGGAGAGGGAGAGGGAGGGAGGAGAGAAAGGGGAGGAGTAGTTATTGACAGATTATTAACAAACCAGACGGCGCGGTGATACATATATACTATGTTACAGTGAAGTTGCATAGGCTCAGAAGCCAAGTACGGTACATATGTAGCGCTGGCTATGATAGAGAGTTCTGTTAATCTTCATACAAGTTGGAATTGTCGTGTATTGAGCCAACTCATGAGCAACTAAGCTAACTCCAGTCAAGGTCCACGGCTCACTTGGGATATGAAGAGTCCCTCGTCTGTTTCGTCTAGAGGGTTACCGTGGTAACCGTTAACCCCTCCGCTGAGAGACAGTCCAAACCCCTCCCCCGGCTTCGTCACCAGCGTTAGCTCCTGCGTCAATCACCACGACAACCACCAATCAGGACAACAAACTAGGACTAAAGATCCTGCTTTAAATCGCCTAATTGGATGAGAACACTCTATCCAGACACTTGCTTCTTTAGGAACACCTGTACAATTAGTTACTGAAACTAGTGAGAAACATGTCTGAAAGTGCACCATACGATTTTCACAAATTCAGTTTGGAAGCCCATGGATTGTGTGTACCATGTGAAGCTACTTTTGTAAGGATGGCTCTGGTGAGCTAGTGGTGTCTTGAATATGGGTGATGGGTTTACCTGTAGCCCGGGAGGGGCTGGTTCGTGTCTGACGCAGAGAGAGAGGGGGTCTGAACTGGTCTTGAGGAGACGAATCGCCTGGTCGTGGGTGGCAGTGCTCACGTCTGTCCCGTTCACCTGCCGAGAGGAGAGGGGAGAAGGGAGAGGGTAAACTGAGACATACTCCACATACAAATTCAGACAACTGGACTGCATGTAGTGGTTTATGATACGTCACAAAATTAGGCTCGAAGTGAAGATGACAGAAAAGAAGCAAGACAGGTCTGACTAACGTGTGATAGAGTAGAGCATGAAAGATACGTAAGTGTGAGGCTGAATCTAGTAATGTACCTTCAAAATGCGATCTCCAGTCCTGAGTTTCCCAGTCTTGGCCGCTGCTCCATCAGGTGTCACCTGTACAATGGTTCACGTTCATCAACAACATCAACCTCTTTTGCACGCACGACTAAACACATTAAGAATCGAACAACCAAGTACCATAACCCTCGCTGCGTATGCGTGCCGAGGGTAAATGAATGTCTGCCATGGAATACAGAAACATGAATACTTGTCTCGTCTGAAAAGAATGAATGATCAGTTCTGACAGTCACTCACTGCACAGCCTCAACCAGGCTCAAGCTACGATTACTCTACATTAGTGGTAATAATCCCAGGGGCTGACCATGAGAATGAAGATTCCCGGCTTGTCTCCCTGTCTGAAGACGTGGAACGGTCGCTCGTTGCCTCCCATGATCCTCAGACCCAGACTGTAGTTGCCCCGACAAAACTCCACCGTCTAGTGGGTGGCAGTGGGAAGAGGGTTAAACACAGACTGGGCGAGACAGACAGAATGTGTACCGTGACATTGCTCAGACACGACTGCATACACAGGTATGCTGTTCACAGATAGAGGACATGAATAGGCAACATAGCCTTGCAGGCCAAGTGAGAGATTTTAGGGAAGTGTGTCATAATAACGGTTTTTTAGCTACCCTCGCATAGTGTTTCAGACTGAAGTTGATAATATAGAGACAGTGGCTCACCTCCACAGCCATGGAGGCATTGCGAGGCTTGACATTGATGTACGTCAGGTGGCCTCTTTCTCTCTCTTCTTCATCATCATCTTCCTCAGCCTTGTACGAGTCCCACTGACAAATGACTCCAGAGCCTCTATCAGCTGTGTGTGTGTGTGCATGTGTGTGTAGGGGGAGTGAGAGAAAGATGGTAGAGGATAAAGGGTAAGAGGGAAAAGGGAGGGGGTGAGCGAGAGCAACTAGGGGGAGGGAGGGGGTGAATGACTATATAAAAAGGGCTATCAAAACTCCACGTTGCATTGACTAAATGGAGCGTTTGATGAAAGGCTTGCACACACACACGTGGGGTTCCCATGTACGGCTACACAAGGGATGGTCGAAGGCCACACCGTTTCCTTATACTACTCCACTGTCTAAGAACATCCATGTGTACTGTTGATGTATGCTAATGTATGGTGATGCAAGACTACCATTACTAGACTATATACCCATTATACACGTGTAGACAGACATCTACGGTTGTAAAGCACTAACACAGGTGCATAATATTAGAAGAAGCCTCCACAATCCTAAATGGTCTTCACCTATTGACAAAGGTTCTTTTCACTGGGGGGTATTGTATGTCATCCTCTCTAAGTGGGTTCTAACACACACTCTCTAATCTTGTTCAGAAAGGGACACACTTGCCATCTACTAAGATCTATGGAAGGGTTTTTATCTGGTGCACAGTGAGTATATACCAATGTCTGTTTCAGGAGCAGTTTTTTTTATCCACTCCGTAAGTATATACAGTAGTCTATATTGAAGGGAAATGGAGGGGATTTTATCCATTTTCAGATTCATAATTGTAGATTGTGAGAGTAGGTTACCATTTGAAGGCACTGGGGATTTTCTTTGATGATGTCTTCGGTCTCCGTGATGTGCAGGAGGTAGTCACGTGACATGTTGGGGAACCTGACACTTTTCATCACTTCTAACGCATCGGATGCTCTGTTCTTTGGGCATAATGCAGAAATAGAGGGTAGGGAGGGAGAGAGGGAGAGGGAAAGAGAGAATGAAAGTGTCTGCAATTCCAACTAAGTGCTGAGTTGATAAACTTCACAAAGGCAAGCTACAAAGTCATCTACCCCCCTCTATACACACACCCGAGGAAACCTATCCTTGCCAGTGCTTCTGCACTTTCAATATAATGAACAGTACCTCCAGGTCATGTCTTAGCCAGTTGAGAGTGGCCTCGTAGACCTGCTCCTCAGTGGTGACTGCGATATCCTCCAGCCCCAGGAGCCTTGCCACCACGTCGGCTCTGTCCAGACTCAGAAACTCTCTCCCTCTCACCACGTCCAGGAAATTTGACTCTATGTAGCGGAGCGCGGCGTCTGTGAGCTCAGTGCAGTTGTGTCCGTCCCCAAACAGCCAGGTACGTATGCAGTTGGACTTGTTCATCTGCTGTTTGAAGAACTTGAAGCAGGCTCCGCGGACGCCGGAAAACTGGAGGAGATCTGCCGCGGCAAATATGAGGTAGATATTCCGGTCGGTGAGTTTTTATACGAGAGGTGTATGCGAAATCCACCAGGGCCTCCAGAGCGTCGTCTTCAATTTCTTCCACGATTATCGGCTCTCCGTCTGGCTCTGCAAACTCTCCAATGAACATTGACTCAAAGTACTGACTGCAGGCGGCGAGTACGGCCTTATGCGCTCGTATCTCGCGAGTGGAACTCATGAGTGTTACGTCACACAGGTCCCCCCTCCGTCTCATCTTGTTGAGGTACTCGAAGACGTTTCGCGAGTGTTCTCGCTCCGTGTACTCCATCTCACGGGGCGGAGGGTTCGGAAAGGTCACGGGGTGGAGGGGGTGGGTGGGTACGGTGGTAGACGAGGCTGGGGGCGTGGTATTTTCTTCGGGAGAGGAGGGAACTGGTGCAGTGGATTTGGTGGGGGATGAATTGAGTGAGGTGGTTGAGTCAGGGGAGGTTGGTGAGTCTTGGCGTATTCTTGGTGGTGGTTCAGGTTTAGACCTGAGTGGGGTGAAGGTGATGTAAGGACTTGGGACTTGGGCCGCCGAGCTGCGAGGTTTTGCCTCTGGTTTTGTCACAGCAGCTTTGACTCCGTCTGTGTCTGATACTGGAACCGAGGTTGGGGCGTGTTCCTGTTCTGCAGGTGGAGAAGAGAGGTAGGACGGTTTCGGTGGCGGTGTGGGTCTGTGTTTCACTCCAGGAGAGGATTTCTCGGTGCTGAGTGCTCCAGAGACGGTGGCCAGCCGGGTCCGCTGAGGAGGAGGGGGCGGCGGACGACGACGCGACTGGGGAGACGGCCGGTCTCCGTTACCGACGGAACAGCTGCGGAAAGACGGCGGGTAGGAAGAGAGAGAGGTGGCGGAGGGAGAAGACTCCGAGGTTGAGGAGGCGTCGTCCGTGTCCAGGTCTATCAGGTTTCCCTCCGGGATCGCCGCCGGCAGAGGAGGACTAGCGCTCGGGGGCGTTTCGCTCGCCAGAACGTCTTCCCCGACTTCGATGGGCCTCTTCTTCTTGGATCTCCTTTTACCTGACGCTCTCCCTCCTCCTCCGTCTCCCTCCCCGCCTCCTCGACCGTCTTCCGGAGCTCCGCGGCTGCCGCCGCTGCCGAGGAGGCGAGAGAGCGCGGCCTGAGGAGCCGACAGCGTCTTCATGAGAGCTGGCTTGGTTCTCGGGGAGGGAGGCGGTGGAGGTAGTCTCGTCAGCTGCTGGTACGACTTCACGGACATGGCGCAACTCTTCTGTTATCCGCTAGTAGTCTGCGTGTTATGTGTGGGAAGAAGGCTTTTTCAGGCACGCCCATTTGCCGAAATTTTAAGGAGCATGCGTGCGAGAGAGAGAGAGAGACCATGTACCAGCGTCTATGACGTAACCCACTCGCGCACGTGTAAAGGTCAAGGTGCAATCTCGGAGAAGCCATGCAGCGAGCCGCGAGGTCCCTCTTTCAGTCGCTCAGAGTAGGAGCTGGGCCCGGCAGACAGCAGGTGAGGTGCTACTACCTGAAGAAGAAGACCAAGAAGGGACCCTCGGGTCAGGCGTGGCTGGCGTTGGTCGGAATCACGACCACTATTACTGGAGTGACTATCTATCTACTGGGTATGTCCTACACTGTCACTGCACTTGGCTGATTGCGACAGTCTTTAGCTGTGTGGTTTGCCTTATATGTATCAGGTCGTCGCGAAGAGACTATTGAAGGACTAGACACTGTATGTTCATTGCCTGCGAGGTTGTCACCACTAAATGCACTACTTTTCCTCTCTCTCCATCATAGGCTCCAGATAAGTATGCTGATGGTAAGAAAAGAGTCTCGGGACTAGCATTATGAGTTATACATCACGCACCAATGTATCAGTGTGTTGAACATCATACATTTTCAGAGAATGTGGTGAAGGCTTACTTCCTAAGAGCCTGGGACCAAGTAAAAGACTACCAACAGGTCTGTAACTCCTCCCACTCTCCCTGCCTATTTAACCCCTTTCTCTCCCTATTTAACCCCTTTCTCTCCCTATTTAACCCCTTTCTCCCCCTATTTAACCCTTTCTCTCTGGATTATCAGTCTTTCGCAAGGCCTCGGGACCACAATCTGCTACCGGACCTTCTGCCCCCTCCGTACCAGAAGCCATACACTCTCATCCTCGAGCTCAACAACGTCCTCATTCATACCAACTATGATGTAATGGTGATGTAATAATTATACACATGGCTTACCAGAAAACAGGTTGTATTGAGGGGACTGACTTTACACAATAATTATGATCAACATGTAGCACACAAAACACTTTATGTGCACAGCTCAAGTTGTAGAATTATACTGTCTGGGAAAAAGTAAGAATCATAATTTTTACCCCCACAAAAATAGCTGTGGTATAATGTCTGTGGTTATCATCTGACCAACAGAGGAAGCATGGCTGGACGTATCAGAAGAGACCGGGGGTTGAGTACTTTCTCGGTCATCTCTTCGACTTTTACGAGATCATCATCTTCACTTCTGACATCCCAATGGTGACCCCAGCTTAGCAACAATCCACTCGCCAACAAACATTCTTCTCTCTCATTTCATCATTTACCTATCTCTCTATATCTTACACAATACATCAGCCCCTTCTCTTTCTACTCATTTGCAGATTCCTATTTTTATCTTCACTCCCTCAGTCTAATTCTTGTGTTTGCTATTTTCTCCAGACGGCTCAGCCACTGATAGCTGCCATGGACCCCAACCAGTACACCATGTACCATCTCTACAGAAGTGATACTAACTACACCAACGCACATCACATCAAGGTCTGTTTCATCCACAACCACTACACTTATCTTCAAGTATAATACTTCTCTAAATTTGCTGTTATGGAACATTAAAGTAGAAATGAGACATATTTCAAGGTTTGAAACCAATATCTCCTGCATATTAGACATGAGCAAGACACCTGCAGAATTTTCTTCATCTACAATTGTGTAGGATCTGACCCACTTGAACCGGCCCCTGAGTAAAGTGGTGATAGTTGACACGGACCCCAAGTCGGTGCAGTTCCAGCCAGAGAACAGTATCATTCTGGACAAGTGGAAGGGAGACGTCTCCGACAAAACTCTCTGGGACCTGGTCCCTCTTCTGCAGAGTCAGTGTGTGCGATAGCTATAGGGGAGGGCCCCTGTAATGATTGGGCACGTTTGTTTCTAAGACCCACTAAACCTCTTTTTCTGTCCGTTACTGAATACAAGCAGTAGAACATAATGTGGGACTTTGGTGTATAATGTTGCTCGGGAAACACACATTTGATAGCTCATTGCACAGCGCAAGCACTTCAGTAACTATAATCATTATGCCCCGAGTTTAATTCCTTTGTACGTAAACCACTCCCTTGGTTGTATGCTAATTATCCGGCTCCATGGATGGAAGCTCAACTGCAGCAATATCCACATTGTGTCTCTCTCTATGCAGCTATTGCACTGCATGGTCCAAGTGATGTGAGGCCAGTACTGGACTCATACAAGGCAGAGGGAGACGGGAAAGTCATGCAAGTGTTCAAAACAAAACAGGTAATTATACGAATGCAGCAGTGGCTAAATTTAAACATTGTTGTATCATCTTGTGCTGGGGCCCTATGAAATGTAGCCCTATGTATTGCCAAATTCCTTTTTACTGCACACCCAATGCTCATGCTCAATTTAACTGTCTGTATATAGGCTCTATTACTGGAGCAGGAGGAGAGGGAGAGGGAGGAGAGGAAGAGACTGAGTCAGAAGTCTGGTTCAAGATTTGGCGGGCAGTTCTCCACTTTCTCTCTCGGTACTGGGGTCGCTGGACAGAGGACCACACCCCCACCTCCTCCTCCTCCCTCCTCACCCTCCTCACCCTCCTCACCACACTCACAATCAGCACCAGTTCCTTCGGCTGAAGGTGGCTCAACTGATGATGACTCTTGGACTACCTGGATAGGCAGTTGGATAGGCTGGAAATAATGATGTTGCTCGTTACCGTTCTATTTGTGCATTCCAATTACTCGATTATTATTACGCACATCAAGATAATTCCAAAATGATCACAAGTCTATGCTGATCAACATATCAAGTCATGTGACTGTCACATGTCAACAATGGTCATCGAACTTATAAGATTGGATATGTAGCCACTGCACTATTATAGGCTAAAAGATAAGCAGCAATAATTATTGTGATTCAGATGACAACATTAACTTTCAACAATGGAGTGTAACGAGTGATCAATCATTAATGTATGAGATTAACATAGTCCTGAATGTCCATTGCATAAGGGGAGTTCCAGTCTCTCAGGAAGACCTGAGCCAGTTGGCACTGTAGAGTGGCATTGGGAGGAGAGACTGAGGTCTGGTTGAATGTGAGACTCAGTCCTCCCGTGTCATTCCAGTAGTCTGCTGACCAGTTGGAGGTCGCTAGAGGGAGGAGGGAGGGGGAGACAAATGGCAGAGAACAAAGTAAGAAAGGAAAGCAGCAGAGAAAGTCAGAGGGAAGGGGCACCAGAGAAGGGAAAATGAAAATACTTGAATTTCTCGTTATATCTCTTTTCATGCTCAACTCTTCAGCTTTTATCAATAGACGTCAATTAATGGTACCATCTTTCTTTCGTCAATCTCCTTAACTGCTTCGAGCAAGTATTCTCGTACAACTCACTGACGTAAGCAGCGTTGTCAGTGACCATGTACTTGTTGTGGTTGACTCGTGTGTAGGGAATGTGTTTGCCAGGGACTGGAGGCACACGGAACAATCTCTGTGGCAGACAAACACACACACACACATAATCCCAATTGCATTACTACATACATTATAGTCTACAAACCCTACTCTATAATAATACAGTAGTGTCAGCTTACAGCCTGGATGGTGCCATATTTTCTGCCAATGGGGCTGTCGGCGGCGAGACTGGCGAGGAACTTGAGCTGGTCGGGAGAGGTGTGGTCCCAGTAACTGCCCAGGAACCTCACGTGGACTCCTCTGTCATAGGCTGCCCTCCTGAGAGCATCGTCCACTACTGGCCAGTACCTGGGGCCATACATACATACATCATACATACAGTAGCTGGGGTGGTATCTACATAATTATATACAACTCTGTACCTGTTTGTCACGTTAGCATAACTGCAGTGACTAAGCGACTTTTAGCACAGAACTTATAATTATGCATGGATAGTATACTGTCTAATAAGGCTATGTACTCCTCACGAGCGAGGATGGTGGTAGACGAAGGCAGGGGCATAGTCCATGACGGCTATGGAGATGTTGGTCTGAGCTGACTCGATGACATGCAGCAGGGCATCCAGGTCTGGGGTGCGATACTGGGCACAGAATGACGGGGGAGACGACTGCAAGAAATGAGGTAAGGAAAGAAGCTATATCTAGACTGCAGTCACATGCAATTGACCAATCAGATTGCAAAAGTACAGAATTACCACCCACACCTAGCATCATACTGTTCACACGGTACTCACCGACCAGAAGACAGAGGCAGGAGTATCGTTGAGACTGAGGAGGGCGGGATGGGAGAGGTTGAACATGGCATCGTACTGAGGAGGCCAGGGACGGGGAATGTGGGAGGTGGGCGTGGCCAGGTACCAGTATATCTCAAACAGTTTCTCTGCATCTTGGGCCAGACACTGACAGTCTGTACCAATCACCCCGAGCTCCTTCACCTAACACAGAATAATAGTGGACCCTTACGTCGTGTTTTGAAAGGGGAGAGGAATATACTTCCTCATCCTCTACCCACATTCACACGGCAATACATACAGGTTACCTTTATCAATGACTTTCTAGATGCTCATCCATGTAGTGGTTGTACTATAATAATGCTAACATTAGACAGTATACACTTTCATCTTCACTAAAATAGAACCCTTAAAGTATGACCGTCGCTCCACCACACCTGAGTCAGAGATCTCCAGTCCAGGTTGGCACTGCCCACGTAAATGTGTCTCGCGTCCACCACCAACATTTTAGTGTGGAGGATCCCGTAGCCGGTCAGAGCTGTAATACTCAGGTTCCTCACCTCTGCAGCTCCCATCGTGGCCAATAGTTGGGAGTCAGTGTCTGGCATTTCACGTGTCGGGGTGTTCTGCACCACACGGATCTTTACTCCACGTGCTGCGGCTGATACTAGCCCTTCGAATATCAGTTTCCCCTGTTTGAGAATGGTCATAGAGATCAAACAGTAGAAGGGAGATATGGAGGGAGAGAGATACTTGCACAAGGAAGACTAGAGAGAAGGGGAAGAAAAGGTATAAGAGAACAAGGAGGAGGGAGGGGGAAAGAGAGAAATTGAGAAAAGAGATAGACCTCCTCATCAGTGGGGTCACTGGTGTTCCCTCGACCAATGAGAGACCAGTAATAGGCAGAGATATCGATGGTGGAGGTGGCGGAGGAGAGGAGAAGGCTCCAGGCCTGGTAGGTGGAGATGTGGGAGGGCGACCCATCAGGGTAGGGTAGGTCTTCTGGAATACTCTCCACCAGCCCCAGACTGTGTGTAGCATTAGCTATCGATTACTCTTACTCTGTAGTTAGCTATCTTTATGTGTGTGTGTGTGTGTGTGTGCGTGTTTTCATGTTGCTGAAGGAACCACGAACCAGGAAAAACATTTTCCAGGACACCGTTTGAGACACATCAAGGTACATAGCTTGTTCGTTACCTGCATGAAGTATTGCATTTATCGTTCCACCACTGCTTTCCGGTTGCTGCCCTACTTGTCTGCAGACCAAAGACAACGCCGCTAAACAGAAGAAACAGCAGAAACATCCTCTACTCCATCGCGCTCGCGCAAGCTCTTGCTTGATCCTCTGGCTTGGTGCGCATGCCTTGCACTGTCACGTGCAGAATGTGGGTGGTGCTCAATAATTACCCTATGCGCGCATGCGCGCGTGTGTGCCACTATAACAACAGCAAAACTGCCATTACCTATATGCATTTAAAATTGTTTAAGTCCAGGAAAAGGGTTTTCTTCAAATGTTGAAGGTGATGGAGCAGAAAACAGAGCATCAAGGAACCTCTGGAACAGGCTGGTTTGCTGTGGGAGATGCTTCGGAGCCCTGTCTTTAGCGCTGGGCTGTGGCTGTGCGGTCGAGTCTTCTCGGCAGTGATGGGAGGACGAGGAGGAATGTCTGGGGATGTTGATGGGAGGGGAGGAATTGAAGGAGCTCTCCAAGTCCACCGACACAGATACAGCTGTCGGGGCACACGAAGGCTCCCTCCCACAAGCTCCTACAACGGAACCACTGTCGTCCACACACGAGACTGACGTCGGATACACTGACGACACGAAACTATGGACTGTCCTGCTACATTGGCGAAGTCGAAACGAGGTGGCGACAGACTGAGTGTCGTGTGGTGAGCCAAGAGGGGCAGAGGAACGGGAGAGAGAGGTACGCAGGAGGGACGGCGGCTGGGTTGAGAGATCGTGAAACTGGGCAGAGGGTTGAGTCCCGTAGCCCGATTCCTCCGTAGCCCTTCCACTCGGTGCCGTACGGGGTCCAACAGGTGTCGGATGGGGCTGTGTGCAGTGGGGAGGGGCAGAGTGGGGACCCTCTCTCTCCAGGAAGAAGTCGTCCAGTGACCCACAAGAGTGAATATCTGGGGAGGTATATAAGAGTAGGGAGTCTAAATTAAGGAAGGCATCACAGAGAACGTTGGCTGAACTTAAGTGTCGTCCGGGTTACCTTGCACATACCCCCTATTGAACCCCCCTGGAAAAAAACTCTAAATAAAGACATGATTTACCACTGCATGTGTCGTTGGGAATATCCCAGAGCCTCCCGTGAGCAGGCAGTTGCTCCCCCGTCTCCCGCAGGATGGCGAAACATTCGTGATAGGCTCCCTTCTCCTCCACCTTCTCGAGGAGACGATGGGATTCTGTCGTCGTCTTTGGCCGAAGCTATGTAGCTCCGATCGGACTGGGAGAAGACACCCTCTGAAACTAGGGAATCGACAACCACTGTTGGATCTGTGAGCCTCTGTATGTCGGCTGTGTGGTTATTTACTGCTCTGCTATACACATCTCGAGTCCACTCATCTATATAAAGTTGGGGGGCGGGTTGGGCGGAGATATAATAATATTGGTACATTAACAAACTGACCGTAGTGGTAAGGAGTCTTCTGGGGTATGACGAATTCGACAGCAACAGGTGCAAAATCACGCTCAACAGCCTCCTGCAAAAAAATGATGTGGCACAGTGTTTCTCTCAAGAAGGTGCTGCAGTCTTACTGCTTGTGGCGGTGTGTCAGAGAGAAGGAGGTCGGCGATGGTGTCTGCGGTGTGCATGGATGCCGGGTTGGGAAGGAAGGTCTTGCGGGTGGCGAGTGCCTGGCTGACTTCAGACAGTGAGAACAGATGAGGAATCTTCTTCCCGGTTCTCAGATCACGACTGCTGACGACCGACACTGGACCTATCCCTCGGTGAACTCGGTACGCCGACTCGATGACGTAATCGAGAATATTGCGACACTCGATCCCCGTTTCGTCCGAGGAGGTCGGAGAGCAGACTTGGACTATGACCCCCTGGCTCCGGACGCGGTCCACGTACCGGATCCCCAGCTGGACTCCGGTTGCAGTGGAGAAATACAGCTGCACCGTCCACGGCACTGTGTTTGGGGAAGCAGGCATTTGACAGCAACAGTGCCATGAGCTGGACGACAAAGTTCTTCCCCACGTTCTCTGTTGCAACACCGAACCAACGCCCGGCAACGATTCGACAGTTGCGGCAGTCTGTGCACACCCATTCGGCCAGAGAGCGCGAGAAATAGGCCGGGAAAACGTAGCGAGTCTCCTGGAGCGAGTGGTGCTGGTATTCCAATATCGACTGCTGGTACTTCAAAACGTCCAGCACCAGGCTCTGCGGGGCACTGCGCAGTAGGGACCCCACTTGGGAGGCAGTGAGCGACTCTGGGTGCAGGAAACTAACTCTCTCCACGGTGGGAGGACTCGGGTTAGCCACACACTCTAGATTACGATAAACTTGGAAATCATGCACGTTGTCGACTTTTAAAGACACTGTTGTGGATTCCTTCACCTACATACAATAACACAGTGGGCCAATGTAATTTCAGCGGTGCCCCCCACTGGCCAACTAAACTTACCCTCTTTTGAGCAAAGAAGGATCTCTCGAGGATTTGTTTTAGTTCCAGGGGAAGGGTGGGCAATCTCCAAGCCAGTTCATGAGGTAGAACATGGCTACCCTATAGAGAGAGCAAAGGAACTAACTAGTAATTTCGGTACTCTTTGAAAAATTAGAGCTTTACAGAGCACACACAGCCAGGGCCTATCTCTCAAGTGCTGCTTGAGGGCATGTATATATAGCTAGACACCAGAAAAAGATTTGTAAAGGCTCTGCAGCACTTTGCAACAGAGAAAGGCCACCTTTATGAAGAAGACAGGTTTGCAAGTACGTTTGTACCAACGTAGCATAAAAATTATTGACAACGAATTACGTACTATACCGCTGTGCATGCAGCAGGTATGTGTGTAATACTTACAATGAGGAGTATTCTTTTGAAGTACTGTGCCGTGCTCTGCTCCAACATGATGCACAGAGAGGTAACGTCACCCCACATGATACTCTCATGCAGCACCGTGAACCCATACTAGACGGAATAATGATACCAGCACAATTATGACATAACCCACGACAAGTAGTAAACAAAGCCATTCAGGTTGAAGTAAACTTACAACTTAAATACAGCCGCACCAACAAACTATTGCTGGTAGCAGCTATACTTACGTGGTTGGTGGCCTCGGGGCTGACACCAGCTCGAATGAGAGTCTTCACAATGCATCGTATGTGGTGCTGGAGGTGGGGGCCTCTGTTGCCAAACCTTCCAGTCACAAAGTGGAGGGGCGTACTGCCCAGCTGCAGTCAAAAAGAGACGAGAAGTGATTGTACATACAAGATGAGTACAACTGCTGAACTTTCACAATGAATGTGGAGACGATACGATAACTGAGTCCAACACAACTTTGCCGTTTCTCAGCAGTTTCATTTTGTGCCTCTACATTCATTGTGAAACTTCTACCTCCACCAGTTACAAACGGAACTATTGAATAAAGGGATCACTACACCACGGGACAATGAAACTGCTGAAAAACAGCAGCGGTTTTGTTACTCAGTTTGTTTAGGCACGATGACCTCATCAAAATGTGCATGGTTTGCATAATGACATCTGTTAGTATGTATACATAACGACCTCGGTTAGTACTGATGCATCACAGTTGGAGCCCAAAGAGGATCCGTATTGCCTCCAGGTCTATGAGAAAAGCAGCAAAGTGGAGAGCAGTCCACCCCTTCTTGGCAGCCTGGGGTAAGAGAGACATCATCAATTAGTACCTTCACCCCCAGAGACTGATATGAGGGTTGCACAAACAACTGTATATATACTTAGGGATTCCCCTGGGACACCCCCACTCTGATCAACTACCTTACTAACTCCACAAATCATTTCACCCACCATAATTATTGAAAGACCCAGTGAGGGTGAGGGGGTATGACTCACATTAGTACTGGGTTGGTTGATGTCCGCCACTCCGCTGGCCAGTAGGACAGTGAGTGTTCTGTACCTCTTGCACAGGACGGCCACGTGGACTCCAGCCAGACCTCTCTGTACGTGGGAGAGAGAGGGTCAGCACACAGCTACAACCACACACACCCCCATGCATGCTATGTACAACTAATTTACAGGATAACAAAATTATAGCTAATGTGGTTGGTAAAAAAAGAAGCTAGTTCACTATAAGAGAGTTTCATTATAGGTTCTTTGAAAGAGTAAACAACACATCTAGACGTGCGTAAACTCACGCTGTCGTTCCCCAGTACTCGAGCTGTGCTCCACCGTGACCTTCCCGACTGAAGATCGTCAAGAAATCGCAGTCCCTCATCCTCGGAGTGCTCTATGGCACGAGAGAATGCGTCCTCCGCTGAGGCTGGACGGTCGGGGAGCTCCGGGACCCACAACGGCCTCTCGCTTTCTTCACTAAGCGCCCGGGCTAGAGGCATTGGCGGGCGAGTTAGACTGATCTCTACGTGTTTTCTCTTCCGCTGGACGATATCAGGAGGCGCGCAGCGAAGTCGTGGTGCGGTGGACCCGCGGTAATGGTTACCATCCTACGGGCCCTGAGCCTCCCTTCTCTCGTCGTCCGTTTCGGTGGAATGAGAGATCGGCAGGGTGTTTTACACCGGCTTATTTCCGCGCACGCGCATGCGCACCCGTTCACCAGCCCGCCGCGCCCCCCGCGCGCGCGGCGGGAAATCCGCGTCAAACCGGCCAGCCATATACGCATGCACACCACGCAGAGAGCTATGCATGTACATGTAGACTCACAGCTAGCTACAGTGAAGATGTCATTCTCCTGCCTCTTATTGCTCCCCTGCTGCTGTCTTCTCCTGGTCGCGTCCCTGGCATCCGGTATACCTACTCCACCTTCTGCCAGTAATAGGTGTGTGAGTGCTAGAGAGTAATGAATCGCCGCGAAACCCGGCCGACCACGCGTTCCACGTGCGCTTTGGTAGTGTGGATGGTCACCGGGAACTGGACGAGTGTATTCTTATGGTCTCTTTGTCCTGTCTTTTTTACACCTGTATCCAACGATTCGGGTCGTATATCTAATAATTCTGAGCTCAATAATTCTCCACAGTGTCTTATTTGGGGTGGCAAAATTTACTTCTTTCATGTTTTCTCTCGCCAGCTCTTTGCTGTGGGACTACTTTCTCTTTGTTCAACAGAGCCCTGGAGGGATATGTTATTTTGAGGTGAGTCACAGCTCCAGCTGCAATAACAGAACCCTGAACAGAAAGTTTTCCTCACAGGGAGGTAAAAACTGTGAATACGCTCTCAATATTACCAACTGGACTATGCACGGCATCTGGTAAGCTCTCGCACACCCGTTTGGTGAAACAAGCTCCTCTGTTTTGTAGGGCTACAAAATATGGTACGGAGGGACCAAACTGGTGTGACGAAAGTGCCAAGTTTGTACTGGAAGAGATAGGGGTAAGAACTGCCCAACGTTCCGAGGTGGATCATTGGGTATAATTTAGACAGTTCCTCCTGTGTGTATTGCGTATGTATGTACAGATTACCACTAATTAGAGGGGCTCCTCTGGGAATTGCGTCTAAAGGATGTTGTGTGTGTGTGTGTAGGAACTACTGCCACAGATGGTGAGCCAGTGGCCCAATATGAAACCGGAGACCAACTTCAGTTCTTTCTGGTGAGTGTGCTCTCTATTGAAGGCTGAATGGGTGTCTGTGGGAGGGAGGAAGGAAGGAAATGGTGCCAATGTTTTGTATGGGGGAGTTAGTAGGCCAACCAGCCAGTAGCCATGTCGTCTGACTATTATGTATACCTGTGTCTCAGTCTGCACCCCCCTGACAGCGGCCACCAATTAGACAAAAGTTTATGTGTACATGCTCTCTATAGTAAACTTTCAAAAACACTCAAAGAGAGTGCAAGTGTTATGATACCACTTCAGGTCACATGAGTGGCTGAAACACGGAACGTGTGCATCGGAAATCGAGTGCATGAGCTCAGAGAAAGGTTTCTTTTCCACCGTCCTCGCCCTCCACCGGACCAAGATGGACTTCTCTGCCATTCTCTCACGTCGGGGAATCTTCCCCTCTCACAACCACACCTTCAAGGTATCACACGGCTAACACGCAACCTTAAGGGTTTGGTAACCAAATTATGCACAATTTATACCATGGCCACTCATATACACAAAACCCAAAAAACTTCAGGGCTAAAAGGCAGAGTTGAAATTGTGTGTGTTCTGTTGCAGACAGCAGATTTTAACTCAGCGTTTGAGAGCTCAACAGGAGTACAGCCACTGTTAGAATGTCTCTATTCAGCGGTAAGTGTTTATGCGATGTGATTTCCCCCTCAAAATTGTTGCCTGGAAATTTACTTTCTGTTTATACATGTTGTGCATGCCCACTCTGTGTATATATAGGAAGCTGGGCAGGTTTTGTCACAGGTGTCTCTCTGCCTGAAGAAAGATTTCACGGTGATGTCCTGCCCCGACCATGTCTTCAACAGCACCAGACACAAGTGCTGGGATGACGAACCAATTCACTATATTCCGAATTTCTGACATACTGCACTCCCTATAGTTTCTACTAGTGATATTGTGTTCATCTTCTGATGTAGACATGTTTCTTTTCATTTCTTCTGTTTATACCGCCATAATTATCCTGCCTCTCTTTGAATACATGTGCGTTTCACATAATATACGTGAAGCATGCGCTCTACGTGTTCTCCGCATATCCCGTCCGTATATCCTCGTAAAACCAAGTATTTCCCGCGCGCGCGCATAAATACTCTGCGGGTGCGGCCTAGAGCTAGAACGGAGAGAGAGAGATGAAGCGGTTTTCTTTCGGCGTGATCGCAGGGTTTTTCCTCGCAGTCGGTCTGGTTACCAGTGTCCCCGTCCGTCGCGGCAGAGTACTCGAGCCCAGCAAGAGGTAGGCGTTTACAGCTAGCCGGTTGGTTTATTTATGCAGAGATTTATGCATGTGCGCAGCTCAGCTAGGCTGGTTAGCTGAGATGTATGTCCCATAGCTTCCCATTGGTGTGCAGTTACGGCATACATATCTTTTTGCAGTCTTTTTCGCAGGGATTTCGACGTCAGGCAACTGAAGAACCATCGCACTAGTAGCGGTGAAGACGACAGCTGGGACTATTTTCTCTTCGTGCAGACGAGTCCCTCGGGCGATTGCTACTTCGAGGTTAGCTGGCAGTGTGCTCGCGTCGTCTTATTCGTCTATTTCACCTCCTCCCTAACAGAAGTACGAGAACTGTGCCTACCCGTCCAATTCAACGCAGTGGACCATGCATGGAATATGGCAAGTCATCAGTGTGTTTGTTCAACGCCACAAAGTTATGGTTACTTTGTTCCTGCCCCCTCAGGCCAACCAAGAATGGAACACTTGGTCCAAACTACTGCAACGAAGTCACATTCTCTCTTGACAAAGTAGAGGTGAACCTTCTGTAGGCTAGTACATACCGCAGTGTTCTGTTTTCAGGGTCGTACACTCCTTTGTAACATGTCCACGATTGAACACAAGAGTACTTTCAGAACAAATATGTTGGCCCAAACAAATGTAACCTAACACTGGCAATGAACAGGTGTGGCCAAACTTCTCCCAGTTTTTTCAGGTCTGGATTGTTGCCAACACCTTTTTTGGTTTGTACTGATTGTATTCATGGCTTGTATTTGCGCCACGTGACTAGGCTAGGCTGTGATAGAAAGCATACCTCACCTTCCCACACAAACATCTTTCTCTCTCTCTCTCTCTCTCTCGCATTTCAGGATCTTGTGCCCCAACTGATCAGTCAATGGACTAACGTGAAGACAGACACATCCTTTACCTCATTTTGGTACGCAATTCCTTTCTAGTTCGTTATAATATTACTATAACAACTACTGTAGGGCTCATGAATATAAGAAACATGGCAGTTGTGCACTAGAGCTCAATGCCATGTCCAGTGAGTACGATTTCTTCAGTCAAACACTGAAACTCCACCAGGAACTTGACTTCACCACCGTGTTGGAGAATGCAGGACTTTGTGCCATCAACTACCACAGAATATCATGTGAGCACTTTCACCAGCTATCATTGCATCTTGCTCAAGTCAACACATTATGCTCGTATAGCCCACTACTAGGCGCATCAATTTATGGGCACACTACCCACACTTACCTTCACTCAACACACACACACAATAACACAATGCAGAAAGACGACTTCGAAAGGGCCTTTCAGACCTCACTTGGAGTCCAGCCTCTACTGGAGTGCCTCTACTCACAGGTTGGTGCAAATAGAAAATGCATTTTTTGTACGTATTCACAGAATTACTGTAGTACACAGTGGCACGATAATCATTTTTGTGAAGTTGTATAACGGTTGTGCATTGTATACGCTTGCCAAACGAAGCATCATGGCTTTTTAGACATTTGAGAGATTCTTGGCCAGCTACTTGTCACGTCATCTGGGGCTGTTGGGAAAACCACCAAATTGTCGCCCACACACACTGCACATAAAAATGCCTGCATGGAAAAAGTGCCCAAAATACTAAAGGGGGGATGCACCTTATTTTGTGTGTCTACAGCTATTTCGCTAGTTGACTTACGCCAAGTTGCAAATGTTTTGCCCGCAGTAAAATTCTCAGTGTGTGTATAATACAAGGCAGAAAAACAAAAGCGGTGCTTAGGAAAGAGGTGTCGCCAGGCATGAGTATGCCTTTTTAATCTCGGCCTGCTGAGCTGCCTTGTAGCTCAGTGCCTAGAACAGATCACAGAGTTCCAACCTCACCACTAGCTCTTTATTCTTTGAAAAGGGGTGTCAGTGATTGGTTTGCCTCGCCTTTGTCTTGCAGCCTTGTTTTTTGTTTTAGGATTCCTGTATATATCCTCTCTCTCTCTCTCTCTCACACCAGGCAATGGGACAGGTCCTCTACCAGATCTCCATATGTCTGAAAAAAGACTTTAGCATCATGCCGTGCGAGCAGTATGTCTTTAATTCAAGCAAGACTAGTTGTTATGACGATGAGACCTTCCTATATATACCTCACAGCACTCACTAACAACACGCACGCACAGCGCACACACACACACACACACCACACCACAACTATGCCCTGTGTAGTTTGTCAGAAGGCAGTCCTTACCCAAACTTTATACTATTTGTGTGCATAAGAACAGAAACTTTCTTGCCACATATATGGTTCATGCAAAGTTGCCTTATGAAAAGTAAGAATGCCTAATGCTGTAGATATAACATACAACATGATTAAAAATGATGAAAGCGCTGAAACATGATAATAAAACATGATTATGAAAATAGGGAGTTATTTTCCAGTTGTTGATCATGATCTTCACAGCCTCTAGGGCAACTATGGGATAGTATATATTACACAAGTGACATTCTAGTCAATGAGGGAAAATACTTAGACTAACAAAAGTGGTAGTGAATGGGTCATTGAGTCATAAACCCTGACCTTTAACCTTATGACTCGCTGACCAGTGGCAAAAAAGTATATTTGTGGGCACTTGGCGCCATTCTAGACTCTGACCTTGCCCCGTGCCAAGATTATTGGTCTAGCTTGGTGTTCTACTCTCTGACCTTCTTCAGTGCCACCATTTGATAATGGAGAGATGGAAAGTGTTGCCACACCACTGCCTCCCACCTCTCAACCTGTTCAAACACAAGACGACCCTATTATCCCAACAGCCCCTGTAATCTTGCACAATCTGAATGAACCGCTGGGTGTGCTACAACATACTGTGCCAAGTTCCACCGGACATTCCTCCAGAGTAGAATACTTGCCATCATTCCTGCAGTCAGACCTACCCACCAGCAGTGTCAGGGTATACATCATCCCATTCACCACCTGCACAATTACAGCGTCCTCTAAAACCACTGCAACAGTACACATTACAAACACACTACAGATGGTTCACTGTATCAGTTAAGACTAACCTGAGACGTACCGTCCACAATGTCAACAAGCACCGTCTTGAACAGTGCGTTAGACTTTCTGTTTAGCTCGGTAACTGCGGCTTCAGCTGCTCCCACTACATACTCATCTCGTGAATTGTGGAGGGGCACTGTACCACCCACGATGTCCTCTCCCTCCTCCTCCTCCTCCTCCCCAGGCTCTGTCCTCTCCAGACCAGTCACCTTGTACTCGGGAGAGAGCCAGGGCTGGGAAATGACCGTGGCCGTCCAGGTCTGCGAAAAACATTCATAGTTAGAGGCGAGATGGAGATGGGAACAGCGAAATAGAGGCGAGATTGGAAAGCGACAAAAGCTAATTCACTTCAGTAAAACTTTATTTCTCCTGATCGCACTGTATGTACTTTCTCATAAGCCAGCTGGTCCTAGGCCACCTAGACCACCCGCCCATTTCCCCCATAGTTCTTCATTTGCACTGCACTCTCCAGCTATAGTCGAGGTATTCTACAGGTTTGTCAGCCTACGAGGCCGCCAAATAGGAGCTGATATCTAGACAGCTAGCCCAGTAAAGCCATTCACGTTCTTCAGGCAGTAAAAGAGCCACTCACACTAGTTCCACCGATATGACAACGGTCAGCAGTTGCTTCACCATCCTCATCCTTCCTGCAGTCAGTAGATCTTCCAACGAGAACAGAGAGAACGTACTTCTTCCCAGCGACGACCTGTATAGCCATAAAACGCTCTATAACCTATCTCTACACCGGCGGCCACAGAGGCGGTATTCACCTGCTGCGTTCCGTCAATGACATCCACCAGTAAAGTCTTGTACACGGAGTTTGAGGCATCGTTGTTCGGACAGTCAACGGCAGGCTCGTTCAGGCAGTCAACGGCAGCCTGCGCCGCCGACAATACTTCCTTGCTTCTCAGGTCATCTATCTCCTCTACTCCGCCGGGAATGGCCCACTGAGGAACCACTAGAGCGCTGAAAACACAGAGCAAAAGAGCGGTCTCCATCCACTCTTGCTCGCGTAGAGTTCAAAAGTTCAGTTTCCGTATTCTGTCCGTATACCCGCAGCGTTAGTGTGTACGTATAATCTCACAAAAAATGAATTTCACAGCGACAAAAAACAGAGAAGTTCTCAGTAAATAGAAAAAGCAGCAACAGCCATTAGGCTGAAAGCCACGAAAAGAGTGAAAATGGAGACAAGATTGTTGGAGTGGCTGCTGATTAGAGACACAGGGAACAAATAGGAACTGAACCCTCCACTAGAGACAGTCTCTGGATGACCGCACTGGAATTCCTTATCACCAACCCAAGGTTGGGAGGTAATGTAAACATCCTGGGAGCTGGCAGTTGATTGGGTGTGAGCCCTGGCCTTGGCAGGAGGAGGGGGAGTTTTAACTCCCTCATCGTCCTCTTCTTTTTCCTGTGAGAGACCTTTGTTTGGTAGTTGTGGGCTTGTTTCCTCAACTGACTGAGAGGATGTGGAGAGAGGGTCTTCCAAAGAGTTACAGTGTAGTAAGGAGGACGAGAGTGGTGAAGTGCAACTGGCATTTGTTATGTCGGAGAGAGTCACAGAAACACATTGGCTCACTGGGTTTTGGTTCTCCTCCAAAAACTGCGAGCATAAAGATTTGATTGCGGCTGTAAAAATGATGGGTTCCCTGCAGTGGGTCAATTGCACTGAAATGCAGGATTCCGGCCCAGTATAGAGAGTGGTTAGATCTCTCAGGCTCTGCAATGTTCTGGGGTGCTGTGGACCGAGCGTAAACTGCAGAATCCTGAATGCAATCTCTGCAGGTTCTACTGCATGCTCCAAGTCGGATTTCCCTTGCAACTCGCAGACTAGTCCAATGGTCTCTTCGGCTTTCTTGAGAAAGAGGGCTCCACAGTCAGTCGACTGCTGCTGTTGATCTTGGAACATTGATCCCACCCTCCCAAGCATCTTCCTCTCCCTCCACTTCTCTCTCGTGGCCGCATCGAGTGCCTCCTGCATGATCGAAACAGTGTCCGATATCTCCATCGATTTATCAGTCTCCCCCAGGATCCTGTAAGCCTCAGCGACTTGGTAGAGGGTTGGTAGGAGTTTGTTAGTGTACTGGCAGTCCTGGAGTGCAGTGAGTGTCTCAAGAAACGCGGAGAGAGCAGCGCTGGGGTCGCCCTCTGCCACCATGTCAACTCCTCTGTCAAACAAAGCGTCACAGCGACTCTCACTGGTAGTGAAGGTGATGTAACAACCCTCCTCCTCTTCCTCATCCTCCTCCACAACACTGAATTCTATTTTTCAGCAAGAATACGAGGTGAAAATTGTTGCGATACAGACAATAAACCATGGTATGCTGCACTTGCACATTCAGAATCAGGTGGAATGTCCTTTACCATAATTCGACACGGAGGTATGAAAAGTATTCCAGCTACTGTTGGCCTGGGCAATTATAGGCATCCCCCTCCGAACTGCGCTCTATAGCTAGCATCACCCCGTGGTTCTAAATGCAGCACTGTAAACTTGGAAAAGTCATGCCTCTCTGCTGAATGGTTGCCAAATCATGCACACCAGTGCGACTTACTTGCAGTAGTCCTAGAATCGAGCCTGGAATCGTCGGAAGCGAGATCGATATAAAATTTGTCTTCGTTTCGAGTCATCTCTCCTTTTGTTTTTGCTGCTGATATCAATCCGCGTCCAAACAGTCTGGAAATCTTCCCGGACGTCCAGTTGACTACGGACTTTTGACGGAAATGGAAACACGCATGCTGAACCTGTCGATTTTGCACCTTCGCACCTGGTATATACCCGCCGGCACCGCGCCAAACAGCCGGCAAAAACATGTTTCCGTTACGTAATCGGCCGGTTCCCTTGGTGATAAATTTGAAAAGTGTGCGTTATTTAGGGTAAAACAAAATGGCAACTGGCGGTGTAAACGTGTCTAAAGAGTACGTGAGAGAACAGCTCCACTCTATGGGCGTGAGAGACCTCTCAGAGAATGACTTGGAGAGTTACACTAACGGTGAGAAGGATTGACAACTTATGCAGTTTTTATTCTACCATATAAGCTGCACAGACTTTGCCAGGCTCATTCAGAAGCACCTTCAAGAGCAGACTCCTTCGTCCCAGACTAGCACTGGAGAGTCATTTAGCAGCGCCAACTCCAGTGTACTACCCTCTGGACAAGGTATGCATTAGGATATAGACTACTGAACCTCAGTAGTTTGAATGCTGCCACAATTTTTTCTCACCTTCTTATAATAAGCTTTTACCTGTGTCTTCCAGAATATCCAACTCCACAAGCTCGTCCACACCAGCAAAGATCTGCCGTCTTCAAGGTAAAGAGAGAGTTCTAACAAGATTTGCTGAACCACCTACACCACTTGCGCTCACACCACTCAGACCTTCCCTGGAGACAAAGAGAACAGGGTGTATCCAGTCCCAGTCTCAGCTACCCCCAGCCCCTGGAGACGTCCAGCAGTAGCTCCCACCACCACCACTGACACCGCCGCTGGTGACAGACACGGGACAGCATACCTAGAGACAAGCTGTGATGGTGGCGGGGAAGTAGTAGCTGAGACCCCTATCATAATCACAAGGAAGAGGAAAACCCTGCGGTAAGAATATACCACGGAAATGTTAGTGATCTGTGTGTATGTGTGGTGTTTCTTCCAGGAAGGTGAATGGTGAAGCTAGAGTGTTTGAAGAGTCGTATTCTTCAGGTAAAATAATGCGATGTGACAAATTCAGCAAATGTTTTATAACACTCTTTTCTCTCTCATCCATGCACGACCCGTCTCCTTCTCAGTTGAAACTAGTCCGTCAGTGGGGAGTGTGGCCAGTGGTCTGGCTGAACTATCACTCACCTCCCTGACACCCACTGACTCCAGCAGCTCCTCTGATACATCACTATCATCTTCGACATCATCAACATCTTTTTCATCATCGACATTGTCCAAGGACACCCGCAGACCACCTCACAGGACACAGTGCAAATCATGTGAGTCACTTGAAACAGTTGTCCCTAATGTTCTGGTTCATCAACCATACATCAGCCATAGTCCCCTATACATCTATGATGCTATGTTACATGTCCAGTTATACTTGTGAGAATATTGAACATCTGCTCGCCGTGTGTGTCTTGTACACAGTTATCCGACCTGCCACAGCTAATCTGTACACAGGACGACTCAAGAAACATGATCCTGTGGCCAGGTGATACCCTGCATGACACACACACTGTTTCCCTCCTGTGTGTTGCGACCACCACTAATGTATAGCTGGCTGTATAGGTACCACTATTGGAAGGAAGTATGGGAGAAGGAGAAATTCCCTGGCGTGGAGAGTAGGAATGCTTTGAGATGGCAAATCAGAGTGAGTCATCTACCTATAATAAACCATGCAGTCAGTGGACACTCTATTACCATTGACACCTCTTACTGTGAATATTATCCAAAGTGCCCAGTGGCAGAATAATTATAGTGCATCTTTACTCACAAACATAATGACTAATGAGAGTCAACTTTGAACCCTGACCAAGTAATTTGTCTGTTATCGTAATAATTTATCCATATAGGAACAAATGGTGCAACAGGATCTTCCTTTCTTTGTGGTAAGAACAAAGAGAATTTAAAATTCTGTTTTTTTCTCTGAAGTATGTATTGTGATAACTGCCACTCCCTGTGGTCCCAGCCACAGAGAAGACCACTCCAGGTCAACAACTACAAGGTCCCCACTGAAAAGAAGCGGAGTTCACTTCGCTGGGAGATCAGACACCAAATGGCCGCACAACAATGACTTAACCTTTTTATAATTGCTCTTTCTTTTGCAATAATACTGGTATATACTTATCCGATAAAGCTTTTGTCAACTTCAGATTGCAAATGCGAAAATGATCAATAAAAGATTGAGTGTCTTGTAATTGTGAACTCAGTTCTTGAGAGCAGTATAGATTGCCTCCATCCACAGAGCCACGGCCTGGGCTCCGGGGTCAGGGTTCACGAGGCGACTGACATTCACGTAGCTGGCACGACCTGCCTTGGCTCTCATGGCGACTGTCTTCTCTGCCCCTTCCTCAGCTGCCTGCAGGAAACATTTCCTCTCACTCCCTGTGCAGTGAAACCTTTGAACAAGGGATACCTTGGGGGGGCATCAGGGGTGTCCTAGCTTTCCTTGTTTGGAGGCCTGGTATAAAACACTAATTTGTGGGGGCACACCCAAATGTCCTTGAGAGAGATGTTCTTTACAGAGGGTCTTTTTTTGAGGTTTCATATATATACACCCCAAAACAAACATTTCCCAATACCTTTACTGCTGAGTGTAGCACCTCCATGGCCTCCTGTGTGTTGGTGGCAGTAGGCAGGCCTCGTCTGAGGACATCCACTGCTGGTCCCAGTGCATCAACCTACATACATACATACACACAACACCCAGAAGTCACCCTCCAAATTGCATAAGAAGGGCACTTTACTGTCACCCCTGCACACCTGAGCTACAAAATCTACTCCCAAAAAACACACATTTGTAAATTCACTAAATCCTCTTTCAGTTTCCAGCAGAAAAAGTGATCAAAATGGAAGCAAACAAGTCCCAACCGTTCACAACTATGATGTAGAGCACAGCCGTCTTACCATGGTTCTATGGCCTCTCTCAGCCCCTCCATATCTGTGCACACAGACGTATATACATATTCGGTCATAGGGCACTATAATTATCAGTTTGTCTAGTAATGTTACCTCGTGATAGCCTGCAGCCCGGCGTGCATGGCAGTGGCCCACGATACTGAATCAGACCACGACACATCAGCCGTCGCTCCAGCCGTCAGAAAGAGAGAATAAAGCTAAGGAGAGAGAGGTTCACTGTATCCCGATGCACACAATACACGGTATATACAATATTTCATCTTCAAATTTGAAAACACTGCTGGCAAGTTCGATGCTAAAGCATTTGTGATAATCCAAGAAATTTTGTGAAAATTTGTGTCACGAACGTTTTTACACTCACAGCTCCAGAGGTGCCTCCCATGTTGCTCTCCACCAGGCCCACCAGAGAGAGCAGGACCTGTCGAGGATTGTCCCAGTCCATGACTGACAGCCTCTCCTTGATGGCTACTCTCAACAGCGGCAGTAAGAAAGAAAGAATGCATTATATAGCAGTAGGAAAGAAAACAGGTACGCAGGTGAATGCATTAACTGAACCCTCTGATCAATGCACCAAAAAGATACCAAAGGTTTGGAGACCATTCCAAAAAGTTTCAAAGTGACATTGATACACATTATTGCATTACTGTTTGTGCACTTAGAATCAAAATGCAAAACTATTTCCTGCCACACACAGTGGCTAAAAACAGCTGGTTGAGGCAAAAATGGCTGTCAGGTAGAATGGAAGAGTAGCAGTGTGTCAGTCTCACCAGTGGAGCCAGCAGTCATGGTGGAGCCGCAGTCGCCGTCCCCACTACCTCTGTCCAGGTCGTTGAGTCTCTCCTCGTTCCTGATCAGAACCTCACACACCTCAGCCACACACGACCTCATCATCCTCCCTGCAACAACAACAGCAAAACAACAACAACAACCAACACTCCTCACTTTACTCAACACACTTCTCTACACCGTTTTTTTTTCATTGGGGTAAAGTTTTTTTTCAATCTTGGAGTCTTATACCACAGTACAGTAAACTTATGAGTATAATGTGCAGATGAACGAAAATTAGACAAACATTTTCCTTACAAAATACACCCGCTACGCATGTGTTAGTGCTGGCACGGACAGTTTTCTTGGTCTAATGTATCTTACCAATGGTGGTTGATGGCTCCTTATCCCTAGTGTCGTGAGCAGTAGGAGAGGAGTCACTGTGGCAGGCCACTGGGTCCGAGTCCAGTCTGGTCCTACTGCCACCTCTACCAACTGTAGCCCGTGGCCACCCTGGAGCCAACGTCTCAGCATCTGCAATGACAAGCTGTCCCTCTGAATAAGGTACACCACGCCTCGAAACCGAGGTGTCCTATTCTGAGGTAGTATATATAATACAAGCAAAGTGAGCCAATGCATGATTATTCTATATGTGACGGGCACGGCACATAATGTCGTGATTCTAACTATGCGCAGTGGTTTAAGGAGAGAGTGTGGAGCTCACCGAGATAGGCCAACAGCTCAGGGGTCAGTCTGAGGAGAGTGAGGGAGACCCCTGCCATTTCCAGAGAGGTAATTAGACTACCGCTGATCACCCTCACCACTGCCACCTTCAGTTCATCCACTACGTAAGAGAAGAAGGCACAAATGCTCTGCATTACAAATCATATCAGCAGGTACAAAGCATTAATTAAGACACCCACAAAGGACTCTGACAGCTATCACTTGGTCTCAGACAGCCACCTACCAAGGTATCTGATGGCCGCATTGGTCATAATTAGGAGCTCCAAATTAGAGGTGCCTCCCAAATTATTCACCGCCAGAGCCACCTCCATACCTACAGATGCAACACACTACTGTTGATGCGTGTACAATAAATAGACTGACCTGGGATTGTCTCGAAATACTGGTAGCCAAGATCAGATCGAGTCATTTGCTTGAACATCAGCTTCACCACCTCATTAGCCTCTTGCAACTGATGATTTACAGTTCAATACATGGTGCAAAACATTAGGGAGAATAATCATAATCGTTTTTGGTAGCAATTTTTAACAGAATGCTTGTCCAACTGTATATCACCCACAAACGTTTGCTCGAACTGCAAATAGGCATTATTTCATTATACCTTTGTCCTTTCAGCTCCTGCTTCTCCATGAATACCTACATGTCACAGTAAGTATATACATATGACAGCTCTCGTCCACTGAAGAGCTTACCTAAACCCAGTTCCATCTCGTCCTCTCTGAGTGTGAATGAAGGTTTGAGTCCAGGCACACTGCACGGCGACAGACTCACACTCATAGTGGCTGCGGAACACAACAAGACAATCACACAATCTTTATTTCACTTTCAACAAACACACACAGTCTGTATTTCACTGTGAACAAACATCGTGGAGGTGTGTGACCTACCAACACTGTCTGCCACTCTCTGAGCAATGG